AGCCTCCTTATGTCTGCTGATCTAATAGGCCAGGTTTCACAGACGTAAAGAAGTTGAAAAGACGGCTGCATTATACACTCTACCCTTCAGGGCGAGAGTGATGTCGAGCCGGCGCCACAGGTAGCGAAGATTAGCGAATGCGCCTCGAGCTTTTGCTATACGGTTTGTGATCTCGTCTTCGATCCCAAGGACTCTGACACAATTTCCCAGGTAGTCAAATTTTTGAACGGCTTTCAGCTGATCCCTTCCAGGGATCCCTGCCAGTCTTAGATTAAAGCTTTGCACATCGCGAGTGCAATGCATAGCCTGAAACGGCTGACAGGCCATGCCAATCCTCGCAGTGTCGCTTGACACGTTTGGGAGCTGTCACAGGTTAGGGCAATATCGTCAGCATACTTCAAGTCAAGAAGTCGTTCTCCTGGGAGCAGATCCACACCTAAGTCGTGTCCTGTAAACACGACTTCCATGACTTCGTCAATAGCGAAGTTGAAGAGGAAAGGTGACAGCGGGCATCCTTGTCTCACACCACAGGAGATATCGAAAGGGGGCAACAGCTTACCGTAAGTCATCACTCTGCCTGAGCTACGCGCGTATAATGATCGGATAATATTTACACATTTCTCGGGCGCGCCTTTCCTGAGTAGACAGTCCCAAAGGGTACATCTATCCACCGAATCGAAGGCACCTTTGATGTCGAGGAACACAACGGTGGGCCGCCAATATGTGTGACGGTGCTCCAAAAATTGACGCAAAGTAAAGATGTGGTCAATACAGCCTCAATCTCGACGAAACCCGACTTGCTCTTCACGAATCTGGCTTTCACGAGTACTAGTCAATCTGTGTACGATGGCAGAGGCAATGAATTTGGAGGCGATGGGAATCAGACTGATTGCTCTATGGTTTCCGCATTCCGATCGTAAGCCTCTCTTTAAAATTGGGACTATGACGGAGCGGCTCCAATCTCTCAGGGCATTTTTCTGCTTCCACCATTTCACTGGTAACTCGCGTAAATCATCTACAAGAGGGAGGAAGATCATTTGATCCCGCGGGTTTATTCAACTTCAGCAGTCCGATCTCACCTTCGACTTCTGAGCGAGAGGGTGGATCCAAAGGAAGCCCACGGAGCAGAGCGATCAATGGCCGGCAAGAAATCTGACAATTCCGGTCGATTAAATTACTTCTCAAAGTGCTCAGCCCAACGCTCCAAGCGTTTTGACAAGTTGTGGATAGGCTGTCCACTCTCATCACCTATTAACGATTTCGTGACAAAAGCAGAGGAACTGATGTTCTGGCCAGAAATGACCAGTCAACCATGCGATTACGTATCAAACTGCTTAGCTTGCAGAACACTTGACGTTAGTCAACCGAAAGAACGGATGATACTTTGCGAAGTCCCGAAGAGACCTTGGCGGAAGGTCGCTTTTGGATATCTTTATCCAAATAGAATGGAGTTATTTGATTGTGGTGCATTACTTTAGTAACTACTTCGAGATTGATGCTCTTATTATAATCAATGCACAGACCATTGTGACCATGTTACTTTCCAATTCGCCAGACATAGAGTATCTGAGATGATGATCTCGTAAAACCAACCACATTTTAATAGTGCAGCGAAAAATGAAATTTTCTTCACTACTTCACCAGTCCATACCATGCCCAACTGAACGGAAAGGCTAAGTCTACAGTAAACCGGGTGATGGAAACACTTATCAAAATCTAGAAATTACGTAAGTTGTTTGATGGTGACCTGTAAAAATGTCAGGCGCGGAGGGTGGAAGATCCCGAACCAACAATGGGAACGAGTGACTAAGTTTCTAGTCTGTTCGATGGGAAAATGCAGAGATCATCAACCTGCACCCACATGTGGTTCAGGGGGAAAGAAATTCATGCTGGTGGGAAGGGCCGTCTGAGATGATCAAACGGCGAGGCCCGTTGCCTACAGTTGTTGGGCACGGAGACTCACGGTCGGCACATACCAGTGAACTGAAGAAATGGCACGAATTGGAAGAGGGAATCACTTCACACAGTGAGCAGCTCCGAAGATAAAAAAGACTCCGTGCAAAACAATACGGGTGAGCACTTGAGACGGGGATGAGTATGGTGAGCCATGAATAGATGCTACTTTACCGGGAGTATAGGAGTTTTAAAGGAACCGGATGATAACTAGTCAGGGCGGACTAAATCGACGCTCTAACACAAAATGAACGCTTGGATACCGCATATGGATGTGTCCTAGAAAGAACTACAGAAGCAATGCTTCGGACAAGTGTAAGCCACGCAACCTCTAGGAAGACGTTCTCCGATGAGTGAAAATGGTGGTCTGATGTGATGCATATGGTGAATGCTGGTTGCCACAAAAACCATCCAGACCTCTTAGGCTCTTTAGGAAAAGCTTTGAAGTTAGATGCTTCTTTGAAGCGGGAAGAGTGGGGGCCAGATATGCGCCAGAATCTAGGTACCTACTCTAAATTGACTGACAACCTTGAAATGCTTTGTGCCATCTGTAGTGCCATTTTTGGTTCAGGTTACGGAAGAATTTAGTGTGCGTTAAGAAATACGGCGTGGACATTTGTGCTGCAAAGTAGTGCGGCTGATAAAAAGTGCATCAGCAGTACGCCGGTACGCAGTGCCGACACTTCGCTGCCGCGCAACCACCACCAGTCGTGCGTGGACTAAGGATATTGCGGGGGTCACGCGGTCCCTACGCAGGCTCGAATCCACGACTTCAGGTTACAAGGTAGGCTTATGGTCTTTAAGGCTGGTCTGCTGTTATATAGATTGTGGAGGCACAGAGTTACAGTAATCGATCGCCATTGTCTGTTCGGCGTGCATCGACCCCGAGACGGCCTCCCAAATGCTGTTCAGAATCTGAACGGCATTTAAGTCATCAGCAACAATTACGATATCAGTATTTTTCGCTATGCGTGGAAGAGATGAGAGCTGAGGATAGAAAATGTCTTTGATACCCTCCGGACTTCCGTCAGTAGGAACATACACGAAAGTGATGGAAAAGCACTTTGTCATCAAACGGTGCTTACTGACCGCAATAGCGGTTCGAAGTCGGACCGCACACATGCTAGTATCCAGTCGAGCAGATTGTCTTCAGCATATTTTCTGTAGGCGACAGAGACACCGTAAATACCTTGAACCATTGACTCACTATCGGCAGAAGCGGAGAGTGTAGTCCTTGTCGATAGTCAGAACCAGGAAGTCGGTGATTCGTCACAATGCTGTTGCCTTGTATGCGTGTTTCGGAGACACAGGACACATCAATATCAAGAGAGTGAAGAGGGAGGTTCAGTTTTACCTGTTGACCGATCGAATCTAGTGTGCGGACGTTAAACGAGACAATATGAAATGAAACCTTTAGTTTGAAGGACTTTACATACATCGATTGCGTTAGCTTCGAAGTTAGTGGCAACCTCCGGTTTGGTAAAGAGGCAGAGAGTTGCAGAGGGAAATACAGAACAACAAGGTACATAACCAAAGCAATTACTGGTGGATTTGCTAAATTCATCTCGCAATCTTGCTTTTTAGTTAAGGCAACTGGGGGAAAATAAGTTTTAGCCGGAAAATCGATCGGTATGCGCTTACACATTTTCCCTTACATTTCATTTGTAATCATTTAATGAATTGTGAAGGAAAACAAATTCTATTTTTATTAACATGCAGCACGAAGTATTAATGTTGGTGATAACAAATCCGGCACGGTGCATAGCCGACCGACACGATCGTAGACGAATCCTTCAGTGGGTACAACTGATTCTTCCAAATCTCTATGGAGTCCTCTTTTATAGCATGAATACGCCTAGCTTCGAGTATTCGCGACAGCGGATTGCAATCGCACCTCCATGCATTTTTTCCAGAATCGAAAATGTTTTGGAGCTAAACATGATGGGTATACTCATGTCGGTGGCCGAGTGGTCTGCACACCTGGCTTGTAACCATAAGGTATTCGGTTCGAATCCGTGTAGGGGTGGGCGTCCTCGCGGTATACTCAGCCCGCGCGCGACTGGTGGTGGTCGCACGACAGGGAAGCGCCGTTACGGCTTACAGCTAACATACATATTTTACTCATGCTACGCAATTTTCTATTTCGTACAGCAGCCTTCCATGCAACGGGATGATTTTTTGGTAAAATTAATGTACTTCCTGTAGGTTCTCTCCAGTCTATTTCTCATAACCTTGGAAAACTGGGCAGTTCAGTGGCGCAGAATTACACGGACTTTCAAACCCCTCATGTGTAGATTATCATGGCCTCGATTGTAGAATGGTTTAGTGTAGAGTAACAGGCTGCTGACGAAAGTGTTAGTGTTAGCAATTCAACATATGGGAATAGAAAAGAACCGCAATCTTTGAAATCCTTGTGTCTGCCTTGTCTGCATTGCGTATGGGATCAAGGTAGATGGGCTAGTGTATAGGCTGTGTTGCTAACAATTGATCAGTGAGTGTTGAGATTAACACCAGTGACGTAATCTGCAGTCTGTAGGCCTTTCATTGAATCCTGCTCTTTGCACTGTCCAAAGAATGCATTTATCCATCCTAGATGTGCAGATTCACTGCGAGCTAGGTATACATTATTTAACCTTGTCAGTCTAGGGGCCGCAGCGCAATGGTCATGCTCATACTTGAAATGCGATGCTGGCTCTGGTCTGTCTTTTCTTTGTTACATCGATTTTTTTAACTGAGTGAATCAGCTCATATTGTAATGCCACTCGTTTCGGTCATGATCGCTACCTTATCCCTAATACTTACTACCACCCAAAACTACTGTTTTCGGTGCAGCTGTTTGGTTAACCGCTTGTTGGTGTAATATTTGCGTTCGGCTATTTATGTATTCGCTAAAAGTCGTGGGATTTGGGACGAAACACTGCCCAACGGCATGTTAGCCGCCTACCATTCCATTATGAAACTTTTCAATCGTCTATGCTCTTGTCCATTTCGCCTACTCTTACCCTTAATCACGCCTGAACTCTTGGCTTGTTTTAACGTTTCTCTAGTCCTCAGGTCTGGCAGCCGGAACCACATTTGCTCATTGCTCACGAATGGGGCCACGTCACGGACATGTGTTGGCTCCCACTGTCCATTACTTTGGTCGCTAGAATGCCAAAAACGCTCGCTGGAAAACTCGTGTGTTCCCCCTCGCAATTTTCACCTTCACCATTGATCCATCGAACTCTGGGGCATTTGATTATCGCTTGCCAGGATGGTATCGTGCGTGTGATTGCGATTCCACGACTCCAGATGGACCCCATCTACTTTCAGACGAGAAGACGTATGCCGTTGTACAAGCTGATTCCGAAAGCAATAATGAAGCTGTCACCGTGCGCCTCAAGTGAGCCGGGATTACGTTGTATGCTTTACCAACGGTGAATTCACGCCTCATCGCATTCATTTCTTTTGCGTTCGGATTGTTTTTCCGGTTCCGTTTTTTTCACTCTTCATGTATCTTCAACCTTATTGATGCCTATTAATATCCTCTGACTCGTCTCAGTCTTACTCTCAGTGAAAGGGGCACTATTTATTTGTGACACTTGCCCATTTTAGTGAGATGCGATTTTTCGTCATTTTTTGTGATCTCCGTGCGTGGGATTCATTACTGCACACAACTTTCTACTCCTAACGTTAATGTCCAGTTCGGTCGTCTGCTTTCGGATTTGTACAAACTACGTGTTTTTTGCTGTTTGTTTACTTGTATACCGTTATTTTTATCACACTGCATTACTATTTGTTTTCAATCACTCGACATTCTTAATCTATGAACAATGGTTTGGTCTCAGCAACTCATCTATTCTACCGTCACTGCAACAACTAAGTGATTTTACACTTGTTTCCGTAACTTGTCTCAAATACCCATGTTTGCTGCTTGTCCGCTGGTGTTCGGCTTGCATTTTTGATCGGCACGAGGAATGGGTAACTGTTCCTTGTGCTCAGAGTCAGAGGCGTAACATTGAGGGGCGATCTGCCCCGGGTGGCAGAGGGCGGCCGTTTTAATACTGTCGATTGTTCGATACCAAATATAAAGGGGAAAAATATCCGGATAACCTGAGGTTTGAAGATTTTATATTACTTTGTATAACCAACAACACCTTTGCTCCATATGTCACACCTGTGCAAGCGTTCTTTCCAGCAATCCCCTTTACTTGTCCCATTGTGGTCACTGTCACCTCATTTACCCAATCGATCCTTCATTTCATCGAAAATTAATGTCTGCTTTACCCTTAGCCGATTGTGTGATCTTCACGCGCCTATACTGCCCTCAGTCAGGGCGAAAATTTTGTCACCGCTTAGGGCGGCAGTATTAGTTGATACGCCACTGCTCAGAGCCGGTTGTTCCCAAGTTCTGATATAAAGAACCCTAAGTTGTTTGCATTTTTTGTTACTGGTCCACGCATTGCGCTCATTTTCACTTTACTCTCGCCTTTAGTTACGTGGCATTGCAGTGTTGCCCACTCACAAGAGAGGCGTCTTGCTGCTCTCTCTTCGTGGGTCGTCACCTTGCTACTTTTCCTGACTCCTGTTCTAACTGCGCGTTTACGACAGCAGATGGTATTTGCGACAAGTCAGTCACCCACATGTATCCTGGCCGGATACCACCTAATTGCGCAGGCCAAGCCAGGTGTCATAAAACTGCACAGCCAGTGGAGTACACAAACAACAACCGACGAATCACTTAGTCCGGGGCACCTGGACAATTTAGGTTCAAACTCGGGGGTCCAAGTGGTAAAATGTTGGTTAGATGAATCTTGTGCATTTCCCTCATTTTCTTGCAACAAGGGAATGAAAATTGCGTTATCTAAATCATCATTCACATCACGTTTTCACAAATCTGAAATCGGGGAATTTGATACCCAATATTTCGGAGTTAATGACTATCCACAAAGTATCGCACTACATACCACGGATATTTTAGTCAACATTTGAATCCAGGGCGTGAATCGCGCGCGTACATGCAATCTTTGTGAGCGTACACACATTAAAGTTGAAAAAGCATAAAATTGTTAAGGGAATAGCGAAATTCTTTTTTACAGCCTGGATATCGGCACGCAGAGCGAACGAATCGTTTTCAGTTTTCACCCAACACGTCATGTGCACTTCGCGTGTGTCACCATGGCATACACTCATGTACATGACCACTCCGTGGCTGTGTGCAGCTAGCAGCATTACATATACCCGGAGCAGAGCACATGTACGTGCTAGTCATACCGTTAGTGACACACGATGAAAGAGAACGATAACCGTCTGTTCTTGTTTGGCCGATGCTATTGTGGTCAATTAGATTTATACACGCGCGCTTTGAGTTCACTAGGGACGGGTTGTATCATAGTGGACAGTTGGGAGCAGAATTAGACCTCGTTTCCGTTGGAAATAAACATTCTGATCAATACGCAGCCCTGTCCGGTACAAGGAGCACATACTCGTCATCATGTAAACTTGGAGTCTGATGAGAACTACCGAAAAGAATTATTTACTCGGAATCTACCTCCCTTGATTCACTCATTATAATCGGTCAGCGTGCCAGTAAATAATGACCTATACTCCCTCCCCTTGACCCCTTGAGACCGATACACTTCCAGTGCGTTCACACCCGAATAACGGATGAACTCGGGCGTTATTGCGCGAGGTGTAAGCGCGATGAGACCCCATTTAGCTAGAAATTGATGGGTGAAGCACTGATAAGAAGCTAATTGAAGTGGATGCATCAGCACTTAAGTTACGTTGCTCTCCGTTCCGCTTACTTTGAGCTACAAAATTGCCTGATGAGCGTTCCACAGTCCATTTTCTTGGAGTGATCATTAGCCAGAAAATGCGGGCGCTTGGTGAGCAAACTGGAGGGTTTTCACACCATTAAAGCCGATGGTTGGCGAGTTACCGTTTTGTCAACTTTCTGCTCTTGGTTGTTTCTTACTGTTTCCACAAAACGTTACAAATAACATCTGTTGCCAACGTTACCGGGCTTGTGATTTTACATTTTCAGATGTCTCTGGTAAATCTACTATTTTCCCCCACGGCGTTTTTTCTGCCATGATAGTTTGAACGATATTCATCGTTATCGGAACAGTCGCTCGTGCAACCCTTCCCTTATTCTCCTTGTTAGTCTTGGCAATTTAATCCTTTTACAACAGTCCCCTTCACCATGTTTTCTTCTACCTTGATGTGATTGTTATTCCCATCCATGTGGGGTATCTCGTCATTCTACTGCAAATAGGCAATGCGCCGGAGCCAACATCACCTGTGATCGCTCGGTTTGTCCCGTTTCTTTCGATCTGTGACCATTTGAACAGTTTACGTATGGCATTCCATAACACAGGCTTTCGGTTTTCTTTTATTTATGTTAGCAATTCAAACCACATGACACGTGCATACATTACGATACATATCTTCGCTGCACTTCTGTCTCTCGTATTTTTTCAGAAGCCGTCGATTGGATAGGATGGCCCACGCGGTTACACATTCGCGCAGAGTTCCCGAATCGTCTATTTGTGGGTTATTCAAGGGGTTAGTTTTCCGTACAGTTTATATACTTGCTTTGCTTCGAAGTATTCAAACTGTCTATTTCTGGTCCATATTGCGCAATTCCCCATCTTTGGTGTAGTTCCCCTGACTCCGAGCATGTGAGTCGTTCAACCGCAACCACCAGCATTGGCAATTTGTCTACTTTTAGAGTGTTTACTTGACTCGTGTGCTCAGATGTCGGACCAGTATTTGGATCGCTGTGACCTAGTTCTCCGCCTGGCTGCCTGGTCTAGGCCTTGTGCAGCGTTCGACAGGCATTGGTCGACTACGTTATCCACAGAGCCACGTCTGCTTAGCGATGTAATACACTAGCTTCACCCTGATCAACACACTGCTCTTTGCAGAAATTCACATATTGACTAACAGATAAAGCTTTGGTACAACACTGCTTGATCACGCTATTAATTGCTATTCTTCTCGAATGGACCGTCAACACCATCTCCTAGCTTCAGTTTTGCGCATTTCAACACTCACTATGTTTGTTTTGCGACATAAAATATACCCCATTCTTTCGGATTGGTTGGAACGCATCTGAAATGTGAGACATTTTCTCATTGCCACTCGTCTCCAACAGTACCACTTCGCGGCCGATTTAATCTTCGTCAGGATTTTTCGGATGCAGGTAGTTGAGGCTCAAAAATGGAGCCTCGAATTTCGTGCTTTTCCGACGGGGCAATTTCTAAACACACCACTGTACTGAATGTTGCTGCTTGAGGCTAGCCCTAGCTTGAGGCTGTCCTTTATCACGACGATTTTCAGCTTTCGCATGACATACACAAACAATAATGTTAGTGGCGACTAGATGCAGTGTTGAATGCGAGTAACATCGAATGTTCCCTTTCTTGATCTCCTCCACGCGCGCACCTTATGGATCGATCTTACCTTTGCTTTCACATTCGTCAACCTGTAATAAAGATAACTCACTGATGTTTCAATTTTGTGATCTTCCTCTTCCATACCTCGGACAGCTGTCTCGTCTTCACTTGCTTCTGCATTTTGTTCTCCCCTTTTTGAATTTCTACAGGGCACGTGGCCTACTACGATTTGAGTTGTGTTCATCCGTTGTTGTTCACAGCCTCCGAGTGTCATCTGAGTCCTGTTCGACTGTTCCGGTTGATAAACGGTCCGGTGCGATGTTTGTCGCTGAACCCAGTGAATGGGCGAATGCTCATGGTTCAAGGTTGGTGTGATTCTGCCGGCTTTTGTTACTATTGCTGCTGTCTTTGTTGTCCCCGCCCGCCCCCTTCTGCCAACCTTCACTCCTCACTGCCCTGCGCGTTTCTGTCTTCAGTATTTTTGTTGTGCCATTTGCTAATCATGTAGAATGCATAAGCTACAGAAGCGACGGCGGATAGGAGCGAAAATTCACTCCCTATTATCTTAGGCCGACTCACTAGCGGTAAAATTCATAGCGTGAAGCAAACTATATATATATATATATATATATATATATATATATATATATATATATACGCAGGCCCTTTTTGAAAATGGGGACGACTATAGACCCACTTAAAGATGACGGAGCCTCCTATCTTGACCAGACTTCTGAGAGCAAAGCTGTAAGTTTCTGAACCGACGAGCGGCTTCCATCTCTAAAGGTATACTACCAGAGTCGGGTGCTTTAAGACACTCCAGTAGGCGGAGTTCCTGCCACATTTCCTGATGAGTTTGAGGATCTATGGGGACAGACGACTCAGCAACAGTGCGCGCTTGAGTGGAAGCAGATTGGGTTGGTGGCCAGCAAAACCAAACCAAGTGTTCCAACCGTCATTGAAGACTAGTGATCCGTGATCCACTCACTTCTCAGATTGTTTCACTTACGGTGGCACAGGTGAGATGGAAGAGCTTTCTGATAATACCAGAGAGACTAGCAAGTTTCATATCCCTAGCACATTCACACCACCACGCCTCACGGTCTATTTGCAAACTCGCTTCTCGATCCAAGGATCGAAGTTCTTCACTACAGCTGGCTTCGGCCGGGACTGAACGTCGTCTGTCAATCAGTGACAAGGAGACGGCGCTGGAATACGTCACTACCAGTCTCATTCTGAGTTTACGAAGATTGTGTACGAAGACAGGTGCGAGAGGCTGTGACCGTACACCCTGGCCTACTGTCGACCGCGAGTCAACCTACTGCACTCTACATCTAGGTTACTTCCCCTTGCTGAGGTCACTGCTCCATTTGGGAACACCTTGCAACTCTCGCAGATACCAATACAAGCTTGTAATGCCGGATATAAACCGAGTTCCAAACCTCCTGTGCTTCGAACGGGGAGCGGTTACTGTTAGGAGCAGTACGCCAAAATAACCCATGGAGAGGAAGTCTGCGCAGTAGTTCAAAACTTTGATGGATTTTTCGATATAATTACTTAAGGGTTCGTCGCAGCCAGTTCCAAATCAGATGGTCGTCCAGACGCCCGTAAAAACACTAGACTGCAGTTTCAGCCTGTTGGGCATCATCAGTAGTGCGCATCCATCGGATCCATCAGGATTCGACCCCATGTCCATCAGCGGCCTGCACCGCTAGTCAGCAGCTTATGCCACTGAGCCACGGGAGACAGCTTTGGACCGTCAGGATTTGCAAGCTAACCGATAATACATAATCATTGATTCAGAGAACGACTGCACGCCGGCAATGATACCTCACATTCATGACCCGAGTGATAATGTAAGCCAGACATTTTAAAATGCCACATAAGAAATTGCAGAACAATTATAGTATCAGCAAGGGGCAAATAATTTTTATGATACTTGAATGTATTCCGATGTTGTACATGCTTAAATTTCTACTTGCTCCCATAATGCAGTATTTACTAGCACGCAGTGGGCAGTTTTCTTTGTGAGACCATTCAGCGAGCAGTTTCTCACGTTTCCACTTACGTTGGAAGAAATCCGACATGAACTCACGCTGTTGACGCATTACGGAGTGCCTGGACCAGGTGGCTTCTTTCCATCCTCGCTGGAACTGTGCGTCAATTCGTTCAGTTCACCACTATATAACGCATTGCGTACGTGACAATGCTCCTATAGATTGTCTTTTTCATATTTGACAAAGTTGCCAGTCATTATGTGGAAGTCACAGGGGCATTAGTTCCGCCGCAGTTGTACCCAATTTCCTCACATGCACCATTTTAAGGTGACCTACAGATCTTCAAAAAAGTGAAACCATTGGACCTCATACGGCATTCCTCCCTTGAAACTAACATAAGGGCCACACGGTTGCATCAACTGATGCCTGAAAGGCGCAGACAGTCTGCGGTAGTCATCCTGCTTGAGTTATCCATTGGATCACAGCTGTGCGTACGGTGTTGCACATCTTCGGAAGGGATACCACAAAGATCAACCGCTAGACTGAACCCCTAGTACTGCTACTCCCTAGGCCACGAAATGGCCTGTGGAACACTTCCCTGACTCAACACAATGAGTTGGGCTCATCAGGATTACGCTACTCTACTCTCCTCCTCAAATGGCTTACGTAACAGGCCACGAATGACTGCCTCCACCGTTTCCCGGATTGTTGGAGGCTATGCTTGATGAAGAAATTTAAAACAATTAGTTCACCTCAACAATTCATGAAGCACATTGAAGAGACAAATTTCAGCAGGTGCATACATTTCGCATCGATAATTGGAAATCGTATGCATTTGTCAGTTGGTGCAGAGAAACTTACAAACGAACGAGGAAAAAAATCGGAAACCTTGCCCCTACGTCTAGGGCAACCTGAAGCTGACTGAACACCAGACTCCGGTTTATCGTAACAGTCTCTGGCATGCAGAACACCTTTGCTGCCGAAGTCATCATTCCCAACCGACACCACAAGCTGCCGTTGCATCCGCTAAAGGAAACTCAGCCCATCGGGTCCAACTCTCATCCTGTATACCATTTCGGATATAACTACGGAGCTAGCTACATAGACAGAACCAATAGGATCTTAAGTTCCCGAATGAAGGAGCACGTGTCATAGGTGGGCGCAACAAGCACGCGCAGCTCAGGTTACGCTTTCATGCAGGTCGCAACCATCTTCAATCGGCAAACACTTATTGACCTCAGGTCACCGGATGAAGGTCAGCACATCATTCAAAGTTCTGTTGCTGCATACTACCTCCCGTCTCTTCCGTTTCGCTTAGTCGGTCGCAATAAGCGAGGCAAACCGGTGCCTGGTGTTCAAAAACAACTACCAGCCAGCTTCTGGTTGCCTTAAACATAGGGACAAGATTTCTGATTTTTCCTCCGTTTGCTTTTAAATTTGTCTGCACCAACCTACAGTTGTATATACTTTCCAGTTATCGTTATGGCGATAACGAAATGCATGCACTTGCTGAAATTCCCCTTCCCATTGTACTTTTCAGACCCAGTTTGCGCGGACCATATAGAGCTCGTTGGTGATCGAATCTAGATTTCAAACAAACATTGATATGCTTTGGCACCTTCACGCGTACATTCAGTCTGTACTCATCATCGCCTTGCAGCTATGTAAACCGATCCATAGACTATTTACCCCGGCGGCTATTTCCTCCTCATAGTCAATGTACTCATTGTTGAGGTCCGTATCGTTCCTCAAAGTCTTAGTTTTTTGTGCTGGTGACATGTATCTGCTTATCGATTAGTTGCATATCGTCCGAGACTGCTGTGTGACTTGCGGTCTGACCGCAGCGTGCTTCGAGCATCATTGGACTGATTGCTCTTAACCACCGGTGCTAGCGCATCGCCGTTGACCACATCTTCACATTACGTCGGTCGTTGAGACACCGCCATATTTATTGACGACCCGTCATAGTCGCTTTTCTCGATAACAAAAACCCCCTCGATTCGGTGGATCGATTTGCCCTTTGGTGCTAACCACTCAGAAAAGTGCGCCCGATAAATATGTAAACATTAACAGAGCGCTGTAAGCGCATATTCCGGACAGAGTGAGGATTTTTAGCAAACTGGCGCCGCCATTTATTATCTCCAGCGATGTGAGGCAAGGCTGCCCACCGTCGCTCTTCACTTGTAAACTCGCCATTGACGAAATTCTGGAAGCTCCGGTCATTGGGCACGAATTCTAAGGTGTGGAGTTACTCCAAAGTGGTCGACTTCTTGGCTTGGAATGCGCCGACGATAACACCCTTATCTGTGACAGCTCATCGTCACCATCACTATACACGTGAGCTGCAGGTGGAAAACACCTCAGCTATATTATATCACAATATTAAGGACAAGAAGAAAAAATAACAGTGGCACGCCGGCTGAGTCCCCAGTAACGGATGGACATCGTTCCGGAGAGCTAACAGCCGGCTATCGTGCCGCAAAAGTTATGTTATGCCTAACGAATGCGATCGTGATTGGAGGCGGAGACTAAGCAGGAGGAGGATGGACAAAGGAACTCACAACACAAACGCCACTGGGGCCGCCTCCTAGCCATATCAGCAAGTGTGTTCATCGTCCTTAGGACCCCAACCAGATAGTCGGGATGCACCAATTGAGGCCAACTTCGAAGCGAGGATTTTCATCTCTCTCGACGAAGTCATCTCTTGGCCTCCTCCTGCTCTTCCAACCGCGTCCACGGCGCGCAAACAATGCACATCGCGGAAGTCGGTATGCTGGCGTGCTCAGCACGTGGCCCAGTTATCGGAGCCTGGTGCGTGATATAATGGTGCTGAGCGGCTCACTCGCTCTTCCTGCACCAAATACGCGAAGCCGAACACGCTCACTGCTCACGTGATGCTCCCACCAGACATGAGCTAAGCTGCGAGGACAGCGATAATCGAATGTGACGAGGCTCTTTATGTCTGTCGATCTGATGGGCCAGGTTTCACAACCATATAGAAGAGTTGAACGGACGGCTGTGTTATAAACTCTGCCCTTCAGGGCGAGAGTAATGTCGCGTCTGCGCCACAAGTGGCGGAGATTGGCAGAAGCACCTCGAGCTTTTGCCATACGGTTCGTAATCTCATCTTCGACCCCTCGGGCGCTAATATAGCTGCCTAGGTACTTAAATTCCTAAACGACTTCTAGCTTATCACCACAAAGCGTTAGCGCAGGTGTAGGTCCTTGCCAATCTTGGAGAAGTACTTTGCATTTCGATAGAGCAAAGCGTAGCCCAAAACGATTGACAGCCAGTGCTAATCGGTCCATTGCTGCTTAGCATGTTTGGGAGCTGTCACAGATTAGGGCAATATCGTCCGCGTACTCCAAGTCAAGAAGTCGCTCACCAGGAAGTAGCTCCACATCTTGTAGGTCGTGTCCAGCGAACGCTGTTTCCATGGCTTCATCAATAGCGAAGTTAAAGAGGAAAGGTGACAGCAGGCAACCTTGTCTCACACCGCTGGTGATACTGAAGAGTGGCTACAGTTTGCCATAAACCCCCATTCTTCCCGAAATGTGCGTACAGCGCTTTTATAATGTTTACATATTTATCAGGCACACCTTTCCTCAGCAGTCGGTCCCAAAGTGCACGTCGATCGACTGAGTCGAAGGCACCTTTTATGTCAAGAAACACGACAACAGTTGGTCGCAAATAAACATGGCGGTGCTCCAACAATTGACGCAAGTTGAAGATGTGGTCGATGCAGCCCCGACCTCGGCGAAATCCGGCTTGTTCTTCATGGATCTGGCTTCCACAAGTGGCAGTCAGTCTGTGGAGAACGATAGAGGCAATTGATATCAGACTGATCCAGCATTTCGAACATGAGCCTCTGTTGACAATGGGGAAAATGACGGAGCGGCTGCAGTCTGTCTGCACAGTCTCCTGCTCCCAATGTTTCACTAGCAGCTCGTGTAGATTATCTATTAGAACAGGTCCCCCGAATTCGAAGAGGGCTGGGGGAATTCTATCTGTTGCTGCAGCCTTATGCAATTTCAACAGCGGGATCTCACGTTCGACTTCTGCGCGTGAGGGCGAATCCAAGGAAATGGCTCTTGGATAATTGCTATCAATGCCCAGAAAAGAAAGTGATGACTCGGATTGGTTAGGTTACTTTGCAACGGCTTACGAACTCTTCGTTCCTGGTTCGAGTCCTCATTCAGGCATAGATTTGGGCTCCTTTGAAACGTTTCCCCATCCCGCATTCAACTGCTTGCAGTTAGATGGCACACTGGTGTACTGCTAACACTCAATGAGCGCCCCAGCACTTGACTTGGTCTTCGAACTCATATGAATGGTGCCTGAGGATTCTAGTCAAACCACGCACCGGCAATCATCACGTAATTTGTGGTCAGTTACTTCCACCACTCACTTTCGAACTCACTATGCAAACTACGTGAAACCGTCAGTTTGTCCGCGTTTCTTTGTAGACAGGAACGTACACACCAGTAGGGAGTCGGTGAACTCGTCGATAGCTCACCCCGATTGGCACAAAGACGGCGTCAGTGGGTATTATCCGCTTATTGTTACCGATTAGTGAATGAATGAATGGCTTCATTAATTACAGAACCTAACTGTGATGGGGGCTATAAATGCTAGTGATTGGAAATGCTGTAATGCCGATCGAACGTCACAGGCCAGACCGATAAGGAGTGAGCACGTTGCCGGAAGCAGATTGGTCAGCCAATCAGGAAATAGCTGGCCCGTAATCGCGTCCACCCTGCAACTATCCACTGAACGTGAAAGTGACCAATCAGGCGTCAGCAGCCGAAGGAGCGCATACACGTGCACCCTTGAACAAAGATATGTGTCATTAGACCGAGAGAAGAAGCGCGCGGGCCCAATCCCGCCAATCGTACATCCACTAAGAAGGTCAAAGTGATTTTAGACAGAGTGAACATGGCAACCAAGCATAAACCAATGGAAAGGGAGCCAGCGACACGATGCAAATAACAGGGATGATCCATTGAGACGGACTGTTGTAAATAGTGTATATACTCTATAAATATTCGAGCGTAATCTTAACAAATGACTTCGTGATCGCTGCCCAGTCTTCTTGTTTCCCGGAGGGCTACACGACACTAACAACTGATGATTGTTCAAGGTCACTGTCCGTTGGTAAGTGCAATTGCATTGGATCTCTAAGCTTGGAGGGTATATGCAGTGTAAGCAGATCATGGCAGCTAGAACACCCCGATTGTACTGCAATGGTGGCTCATCATTGGCCTGCTATCACAATGACGTTCGACCGGCTGTCCACGCACTTTTGAGACGCCAGTTGTCCCTATTTTAGACTAATCCTATTCCCCTGCGCTGATTAGTGTCAAATCATTTGGCAGTCTGACGGGTCTGTCTCTCGATTAGTGTGTGCTCCCTTTTAGTCATGTTCTTAAAAAAATGGTTTAATCAAAATCATCCTCGTTTTGCCGCTTACCAACGGATGCGAGAGACAGCTGTACCACTTTTCGTGTTTATTCCATTTTTAATTGCTGCGGTGTTCGCCAAACTGGGTAACTTGATTGCAGACATTTCGTCACCATTCGAGATGGCACCATCAGTGCAGGAGTGATGACAGCTTCATAGCAGGAGCTGAAAGAAGGCAAACCCAAAGCTGGGTTTGGCTTTCATTAGCCACCACTGCTGCACTAATGATGCCATCTCGAATGATGATGGAATGTCTGCAATCAAGTTGCCCAACTCGGCGAACAACTGAACAAGCCTCCGAAGCTACCAGTATCCCAAGTAATTTTATATTTCGTTTTTACCGCACTATGTTTGTTGTCAGGTCTGGACACCGGAATACGTGTCTGGGACCTAGAGGACACTGCTTCGAACATCACAGAGGCACCTGAAATGGCTTGGCGTGTGAACTATGGTACAGCCGGAAGCAACATCATGTGGCACAGTCGAGGCGACACTATATTTATCTCACGCGAATGCATTGCCCGGAAACAAGATCCTTCCAACAAGAAAGGGGCAGAGTTTGAAAACTTGGCCGATCTAATCACTCGCCTTGACAACGCCTTGTGTCAAACAATGTGGGAGGCCCCAAGCATCTACACTCGTATATTGGTGCCTTTGGGTTTGCAATCAGTTACAGTAAGATCATTAGGTCGCTTTAGTTTTGTACTTTCCATCACCGTTTAATTCTCCATTAGGATACTTCCTATGAATTCTGAAATATGGTACTCTGTTCTTTCTACTGCCTGTGGGTCAAGTTCATGCGCGTTACGACTTTACTTAACTTCGACGTACCTGCAAAATGTCGACAGATACTTACTCAACCCGGATCATCAAATGGAGTCTACACCACTCGCCGCTTTGTATTTACACACCGAAAGTATCTGAGTGTGGATCGTTTGAGAGCCATCATAGGGCTATGATGTGTTCTTTTAACCTGTTACTGCAAGCGAACCAGGTCGCAACTCACCGGAAATGAGTCCTTTCGAATTGGCAATTGGTTCACGTTAAGTCTATGTCATATGCATTTCAGTCCTGCTCTATCGTTCCTGTTCGAACGAGCGAACGACGCGGAAAGAATTCCGATCGACTACGATCCCGCTGACGGAACAGCGGACTGAGTGGCTCCACCCGCGTACGACAAAGGTGAACCCCGTAATTGCACTGCGAGGCAGATAAAGAGAGAAGTATAACGACAGCAATTGTACTTGACTAAGCCAAGCGTAAGCACATGCAAGTTTATGACGCAATCGCTGCGTCACCCAGAGCATGGATGTACACCGATTCCAGCTTTATTGTGGTGTAGTTTTGATTCTTTGTGATAGGTGGCGCGTTAATGCCGCACCGACCTAGTTTTGAGGTAACACGGCCTTTTTGTAGCGCTTATTTAACATTGTGTTCGGAATATTGGCTTCTTTATGGTTATTAGTGAACCCAGCCGTTCTGTTCAACCGTTAATTGTGCTACATTTGCTTGCTGTTGTTCCACTTTTCGCAGGTATCGCTGGGCTCCTTGTAAATCTCTCCTTAGCTCCCATTTTCCACGCCTTTTATAATTTACGTTTGATGCATGTCTACCTTCATTCCCCTCCCGACTTGATCACCCAGCATATTGACCTCAGCGAACCGCTAAATGCTTTGCTTTGTGCCACCGACCGCGGCCGAATCGAATTGGTCTTGTTTTCAATGGACGGGCGATTCAAACCAGCGCTAAGATACAGGTACTTGGGCCAAGTGAGTGAATGTCTGTCGTCTACATTGTGTCCTGCATTCTCTGTTTTGGAGATATATATATATATATATATATATATATATATATATATATATATATGCCCCATGCTGAGGCTGATGTTACATTCTTAATGCTTCTTCACCGCAGTTGGGCTAAACCAACTTACACTTGAATTAGATCTTTATAAGCTGGATAAATTTCATTCCACTTTATTTGGTTTCTTCTGCCTACCTGAATAATGTTCTGTTAACTGGCCACGTTGCTTACGCTAATTGCGCTTATATTCGGTGATTCTGTTGCGTTTGTAGCATTTTTAAGTAACTTGTGGACAATTTTTTCCTTATCGCGGATTGGTTGCTAACCAACACTTCATATGCTAATTTAGCGAAGAGTTATGCCACCGTATCTGTATGCAATATTTCAGCTTGTCGTTTAAAGTGAATGGCTGTTGCTTGATAACCCCGATGTGGCTACGCTTGATATGCGTGCTTGCATGCTAAGTCTCTTTATTTCAGGTAGTGGGTTTTCAATTTTGCCCTAATGCTTTTCTTTCTCATACAAATGTCTACATGTACTCTATTCCATTAACTTGCACACTTCGCTTAAGCCAATTGTATTCGATTTCCATATAATGTATGCATAAAGCAGCCCTAAAAAAGACATTTGACACCTAGTTCTGATGGCCTATTTACTATCGTGCCACAGGCACAGAGCCAATTGGAGCATGGAAGTGCGGGTGAAACCCATCGTGGAAATACCCTGCATGGAAGCAAGTCCCCTGGGGACAGTTCCATGGATGACCGTATTACTTTACTTGAACTTTCCGCAAAATCTACATTTATTATTGTTCCCAGTTTCTTTATCTCCCTATTTTTTCCAAACTGCTAATCATTTCAAAAACCCATATGGGAACCATTGATCCAAAGACGAATAATTAACTATATTATGCGATCAAGTTGTACATGTTGATAAGACCACCCAATTGGTCTGTGCCTCGCACTGCTGAGGAATAAACCTTTATATATATATATATATATATATATATATATATATATATATATATATATAGTTAAACCCTACCGAGTTCAATTGTGCATTATGATAACTTGGATCACTTGTTGATTTTGTCAGATTCGTTTTCCCATTTGCCAATGGTCACCAAGTCCCCGGCTGTCTACCGAATCCATTGATGGAACTATACAAACGTACCAAGATTTCGCTGCAAAGTTATTGGCTTCCAAGAATCGTCTGCTACCGTTGTCTGAAGCGTCAGTTCCTACATCTACGTGGAACATTAATGATTTCACTGATCCAAGCTGTCCCGATTGCCACTCTGACCGGTCGATGTGTTGGCATAAATTGTGGACACATCACAAACTGACCATCTTCAAAAACGTAAGCTTCTAATTTTCTATCACTTGAACCTCTGCATTGTTTTTACTCATTTGCCAAACGTGGACCATTCTTCCCGCCGAAGACATTTGTGTGTCGCCGAATAGATTGAAACTTAAAAAGACACGTATCCATTACATACGATTTTATTATCGCCTTTCTGTGAACTAATCCCGCTTTGATACGCACATGTACGAGTCAAGTTTTAATTGTTCTCTTTGGATTTATTATTGTACCTCAGACTTCAAACACCTTTTATGTACGTTTGAAATGCGTGCTGGGTTACCTGTTATGATTACATTTAAGCCTGACGTGGCCGATTGGATCTGGTTTCCTCACTGGCTGTCAGTCGTTTCGGCCCATGCTTCGCATCCTCGAAATGTACAATCATCCAAGATTGTTATGGACCCACCTCTGCGCTGACCCTTGATGGTACTCAGCTAGAAGTCATCCAGAAATTCAAGTACATGCCAGTTGTAGTAGCGCAGGTGGAATAGATCACAAACCGTATAGGAAAAGCATCATCTTCATTGTACAGCTTAGCTAGAGGTGGAAAACACCTCAGCTACTGTGCCGCAATACATAAGAAAATAACGTACAGCAGGTGCACGCCACCTGAGCTACCAGTAACCCATGGTTGGATGGACACACTTGCTAATATGGCTTGGAGCCGACCATAATGGCGTTTGTGTTGTGAGTTCCTTTGTCCATCCGCCTCCTGCTTAGTATCCCCCTCCAATCACGATCTCACTTGTTAGGCATAATATAACTCTTTTTTTACGACACGATTGCCAGCTGTTAGCTTTCCGGAACGATGTCCATCCGTTACTGGAGACTCAGCGGGTGTGCTACTGTTTGTTTTCCTTTTCTTGTGTTTTGTATTGCGGCACAATAGCTGAGGTGTTTTCCACCTCCAGCTAATGTGTAATGATGTCCCTTCCGGAAAGCTACCAGTCGGCTATTATGCAGCAACAGAAACATTATGAGAAATGTTTATTATGCTAAGAAATGTGGTCGCGGTTGGAGGGGGAGGCTAAAAGGGATGGGGAGGGACAAAGAAACTCGGCTTTTACCCATGTCATCTAGTGTATCCAACCAAACGTCCTTCGGACACCAGCTTTGTAGTCGGAAGACAACAGCTTTGAAGTACTGGTTTTCATTCCTCTTGATCTAGTCATCGCTTGGCCTCCTTTCCTCTTCTTCCACCCAGACCCCAGGCACACAAACAACGCACGCCACGGGAGTCGGTGTGCTAGCATGTAAAGCACGCGGCCCAACCATCCGTGCCTGGTGCATGATGTAACGACTCTGAGTGGTTCACTCTCTCCTTGCACCAAGTGCACGATACCGAACACTCGGATTGCTCACGAGATGCTCCCACCAGATATAATAGTGTGTCCTCTAATGCATAATGTCGACACTTACTGTGACGAACCTTCCTATTCCGAACTCAGAGAATCGCTTCAGTGTCTCATTCAACTGTTAGTGTATGCCCTGTTCCCTTGTTTACCGCATGGCCCAGCTCAAATGAAAGCTGTTTGTCACCGTCGCCCCCCTCCACTCATATGAATACATGCGATTTGGGCGCGGCGCTCCTGCATATGCAATCCTTTTGCCTAACTGATGCTTGTCATTGTATCAGACAAAGGATACATCCCCCGGGTAATGAGACTGTCTGTGCGGTCTCGATTAGACCCAACCTATACCGATGGCACTCCGCGTGTTTCAGTACTAACATCTGGATAGTTAAACTTCATTGTCACCGCTTATTCTCACTTCCGCTTCCAGAGATACGTACCAGCTAAACCGTATATCGATTATCAGAAGACGCCGCTGCTGAGTATTTCTCAGGTGAGCCAAATACCTCATGAATGAAAACTGGTGTTCTTCATGCGTGCACGTATATTTTTCAGTATTTCATGCAAACTTTGGAAAGTCCGTCCGTTTGACTTTGCTATGTTTTTCAGGCTGCTTTTTGCCCAAATCCTCAAGCAGCCACCTGGATTGCTGCTGGCACTGCGTGCGGTTTCGTGCAGTTGATTCACGCTGATATGCTCTACTTAAGGGATTTTGACGAATTACTAAGTCAACCAGCTGGCGAACTCGAATCCTCCTATCTCAGTGTCGAACGCGCGCCCCAAAATAAACCGATCTCCAGCTCTGGTTACTCTTCGTACCGGCCTCGCAAACCTCCCGCGGCATTCAATGGGAAGGATCACGCACAGCAGAAGACGCGACATCGAGCATCGAATGGCGAAGACACATACGACGAACTAAATCAATTGCTGGATCGCAAACTGCGCGTTTCGGCAGCGCCCGATCGGGAAGACAGTAATGAAAGCAGCTCACATAGCTCTGATGCTACTGAGGCGATGGGCTATGAAGGGGAAGCGTGTCTAGACGTTCGGAAAGCGGACGACGACAGCGACCAAACTGAACCTTGCTACGACTGAATTATTCACTGTACATAAAACTATGGTTTAGGTGTACAGCCTACATTTCGTCTGCTGTGTATAAGCATATCAGACCATAAGTTCGGCTCGCATTGTAACTAGAATATCTGTTCGTAATAGTGATCTTCCGGCGCAGTTATGTATTCTATCTCGAACTTCATGCGTGAGAATTTTTTTAATATAACTACACGTTTATTTTCGGCATTGTGAAACACGCCCATCAAGGCATGATCAGTGTTGCTCGCAATTTTGCACATAGAGAAACAGCTGCCGCATTTATTGCCGTCAAACATCAGATCATTACAGTGCAATAAATAAGGGATGATTTTATAAAAAGGTTCTTTTGCTATAGTGGTTTTGGTGCAATGGAAATAAAAACCTTTTTCGTTTCGCATCGTAATGTTCTGCAATCCACAGCTTCATTTTCATTAATGTCCCAATTGCTCGTCACCGAAACGATCTCCCTCCTATCCCTTCCTCAATGGCCGAATACTATTAAACTTTCTGTATTGCTCTGAGCCGTGGAACTCGGGCTATTCTCTACTCCTCACGCCACCCCGTTTACGTGAGGCACGACGTAGCATTTGGTGTTTTCTACACCTGTGAACAAAGTAATGGGACGTGACGTCTCTTTACGCCGGAACATCGATGTGTTTATCGGCTGATGAGATGTGCGGAGACTTCGAATAAGGAATACCCAAGTCTATTAGAATGTCGTGCTGGTTCCGTAGAGTTTGTAGCTGCTCATATCCAGTAGCGCAGCCTACAACTGTTCGGTGGTTGAACGGATGTTCACCGATTGGTTGCTAGCAATATTAGCATGTTTGCGCCCTGGCCACTTTCGGAATACATTCTCCTACGCGTGTAACCCGCCGAGTGTTTCCGTGCCGTCCGCTGGGCGTACGTCACACAAATTACTGGGGAGCTGAGTTGCAATAAGCGCGATGCTCTTACTACGATAAAACAGCTACCACCGTTAGAACGAGAATCTACCTTCAAATGTGATGTTCTAACTGCGACGGGTCATTCATATCATCCGAAAATGATGATAAGATCCGAACCCTAGTTAACTGAATAAGGAAGAGCCAACAGCGAGATTAATCCTGGACGCCCTCCACGTAGCAATCGGTGGGCACACTCTGGGACTGTAATACGACACTTAGACCATTGCTTATTACTTCACAGGAAGCTGCTGCCGAACCAGCCTCATTTCGCTCTTAGCTGTAATCCAGTGTAGAAAGGCACTCCTCACGTCTAATGAGCGCAAGCCCGGTGGCGTAATTGCCGCGAGTTCTATATTCAACACTACAGTAGAAAGAAGTTTGTATATTCGACCACTGCAACACGAGTTCTTCGTCAGTGAATATGTGCCGCCTCGTGTGCACATTTCGCTGAAAATAAAATCAACCCCGAGAGTGTAAATTGAGAGCAGGTTTAGCATACTGATGATGACAAAGGACGCTAACTTTGAAGGACAGTGCAAGGTGGTGTGCACTGTCACAGACGACACTGGATCTTATGCCGCCCGAACTAACCAGAATTCGTGCACTCCATAGTTGTATTGAAGAGGGCCACAGATCTCAACGTGAGGGGCAGTAAGAATAAGTTCGTGAGTGGCTCTGAACTCACCTAAAACCAAACTTAAGGCGATAGTTTGAAGAAAATGCGAATTATTGTGGCTGAATTATGGTGCAATGATAGCATATCGATGTTGTGCGGCAGGATGTCATCGAGACTCTATGGCAGAAAGTCACAACTTCTGCACGCACATAGTAGAATGTAGCAAGTTGAGCGTAACATCGATGGTAACCTACTAGTTAACTTCACCGGAGTTGGTTGCTGGGTGGTGGAGCAAATAGTAAGAAGGACAGAACAGATGTCCCTGAAATGGGACGAAAATAAATTGTACTTGTAGTACGCATTTCACAAACACATATGCAGAGAAGGTATATCGAGGGTTGCCAAACGCGAGTGGATGGAAGGCGCACCTCATGCAGAGGGGACAGACGTTGTGACCAGTGAAAGACACTAGAGCAGTTCGTATTGGCTACGTGGTCACAATGTGGACTGATAACGAAGATCGTGTGAGGGCAGTGGAACACAACCACTTCACTTATTTCTAGCACGAAATCATATACATATGTTCGCGCGTGCATCCTGGAGTCATAATCCAACCGTACTGAGGTTAGGTGAGTGAAGCGGTATGAAGTGGATAAAGATAGGAGAAGAAAGCGCCCATATGTGAGGCGGGTGGGAGCAAAGGGTGTGACAACGAACCGGTGCTATAAAAAAGTGGGAAAAGCGAGAGAACATTCCCGTAGGCTGTGCAAATAACGATAGAAACGGTCACTTTGTTTTGTGGATAAACAAACGTCGGGACATAAAGAGAACGCGTGCTATCATGCTGAAAGTCAAGATGTGTGAATGAGAATTACGACTAAATTTTACATCCAGATGTTTTGTGTGCATGTGGATAAAACCATGGTACAATGTTGACTGAGGCCAAGGAAGCGTGACAAATAAAAAAGCGAAATATGTTTAAAACGAATGTTATTCGAGAATAAATCTACACATACCGAACAGGCGACCGAGAAAAATTCAGTACGTGGTAGGACACGAGAAGATAAATGTTCATAAAAGCGACTGTGTAGCTTCCACTCAGTGATAGGCTGCATTTTTCTTAAATATGTAAATCAGCCTGCACACCATCTGTCGCAGATGGCTGGGGATGGCATCATGTGTACGCATAGCGGATGTACAAAGCGAGCAGAAGAGACGCACTATTGTTCGAAGACAGCAAACGAATGGCGCTATTTCAGTTTTTAGAGCCCTGAACGTCTGCTTCCAGAGAAGTTGCTGGTACAGTCTCACTTGCGTGACTGTCTGTATTAGGATTTGAACATGCGTTATCGGGTATCGCAGAATCGGTCAGTTCAAAAGCTGTATCCTCGCACGGATTCTCCTTGGACAACACATTGGATGCCAGCACAGAACTTTCCACGTCTCCGCCCAATGCATTTTGATCTGGTTGAAAAGTAGTGTTGGGAGCTTCGGAAGCTGGTTGGCTAGAATCTGCCTCTTTATCGGAGAGCGTGGTGTGCAAGGATTTCTGAGTCGGCGGTAGAAGTTTTTGAACATCACTGGACATAGACAACTCTGAAATGACACAAAATAAGCATGCCCAGCGAATAAATACGCAGAACGATTGAACCGAAGTCGGTATTCAATGAACTATATCACACTGCTAGTAAGTTGTCAATGGTCAGGTTACTGATGTGCCTTCGGTCTTGTTCTAACGAAACGCGTGATTATAACAACGATACCTTACCATCACCGTGAACGTGTGGGGGAGAACAGGTAACAATTTGAGGGAAGGGGGCGATTGTCTTCGAAACTGCACCACGTCTGAGGGGACTCCAGCAACTCATGTGATAGATATCGTGGACGTCACTCAAGTGAACCGAAATTCCGTACCCCTATCAAGCATGCTTTCGGGCCGTAGTCTTAAGGATCATAAACGTGCCTTGTAATCCGAGGGCGCGCGTAGGGGCCTGAGCAGGAACCGGGCGACCGTCGCGGCATCCTTAGCCTACGTGCGACTGGTGGTGGTTGCGCGGCAGAGAAGCATTGGTACTGCATACCGGCGCACTGCTGGTGTCTGCCTGTCATGGTTTCAGTTCCGTAACTTGCGCTGTCTTTCAATATCCTGTGCTGGTTCGAGGTATTTTGTTTGCCGGTAAAGTGTTAATCCGGTTGAATGTGACCGAGGTCGTACAATCAAAACAGACCCCTCCTCTGCAATAGAGCGAAGACTACGTGACCTCGGCAGGCGTGGTAAGATATATGTCCTTATCGCAACGCACGCGCCCTTTTAGAACGCGTCATATCGCACCACATTTTGATGCATTGAAGATGGTTTGATGAAGCTCTGGGAGGAGCGTCAGCTTGCGGTTCAGTCTGGCTGGGAGCTCGTATGTGGGAAAGTGATCACATAATTCAGTAATACGAACATTCAAGATCTTTATCCCACGTGATTTCACCCCTTTGGTAAAAATCCATCACCATTGAGAGATCCTAACATCTACAATGCAAAAACCTACATCGTTTGTGATCGGTCATTGCGGATACTGACACCTCGGTTTCTTTGTTCCTGTGAAAAGTGTTACCATTGAAATTTGGTTTGAGCAATGGATCTGTCAACAGACGGGTGCATATACATGCATTTACACGGGAGCTGTACAGCTACCGTCAATGGGATAAGCAGTGACAACTTCTTGATGCTCTAGCCGTCGCAGAGGATAATCAACGGTGCCCTATCTGCTGCGTCGAGCAGGGTGGATAGGGGTTTGGATGCTACTGCTCAAGCCTCCCCGTCTTCTTACCCCTCTTCTTGCGCGTTTGCATCCTTATTGTCCCGCTACAACTTTACTTGTATCCCCCCAATTCCTGGCCCTCTCCACATTGCTTCAATAGTCGCTCCGATCCAGTCGACAAGTCCATGTTCAACCAAGCGGACAACCTCAGTTCATCCGTTTCCATTTGGAGCCCCTCGCCTCGCTAAGACCGGCATGCCTCAACGTGCGCACCTTACTGCAGATTGGCCAAGAGGCAGCACTTGCCCGCCCACTAGAGACTCTATCAATCGATATTTGCTGCTTATCGGAAACCCGCCAGCAGGATTCGAGCTCCGTGCTTACCCTGTGATCCCCCACTTGCGGCACGTTTTCACTGCGCCTGTCTGCAGACGACGTAGCTTCAAGTGTCGGCCAAGCTGGCGTCGGCATTGTTTTGAGTCGCCGGGATGAAGCTGCCCTGCTCGATTGGATCCCAGTCAACAGACAAATGTGTGCCGTTAGATTGGCTGGCTCGTTCCAGGTTTCAAAGTCTCGCGGGGACAAATGGTGCCTGTTTGTCATCGCGGCCTACACCCACACAAACTGCAGCAATGACTCGGTGAAAGTTGATTTCTATCACCAACTTAATGACCTTCTTCGTTACAGAAAAAGTACATGTACTGTTCTGCTTGCTGGTGATCAAAACACCCGAGTCGGAGAATTGTCATCTGATGAGTTTCATCCGGCTGGCCAACATGGTGCAGGCTCCCGTAATGATAACGGTGAGCGGTTGCTACACCTGTGTGAAAACGCTGCTCTTTCTCGCGAGCAATAACTCGACATATAACCCGTAGAAGAGTGAGTTGGTGCCCACCAGCCTCGCGCCAGTTACGGACGCGAATCGACCACATCGCAATCAGTTACCGCTGGAGAGGCTGCGTCCGAAACTGTCGCTCGATCCGGAGCACGAGCATGGACTCCGATCACGCCCTTGTGTGTGCTGACCTTCAGGTGCGTTTCGGCGGACGTCCGCAAGATCGCTGTGACTACATAGACATCAATCAACTGGCGAAGCCAGATGTTCTGAATGCGTATCGAAGTACGCAGGCACTTGGGCTGAGTAAGCGCCCAGTGAACATCGTCGATGATCACTGGTCGCATATTCTCTAGACGTTAGTATTAGCAGGCATGTCTTCAATGGGCAAATCAAATTTCCAACCTGGACATTGGGTCTCTATACAGTCTCTGGAACTTATGACTGCTCGGATACGTATTCCGACTGGAGGCAAACATAATGAGACTCACTAAAACCTCAGGGCAAAACTGCACGCTAGCCTGAAGAGAGACCGCGAAATCTGGTGATCTCATCGTGCTTCGAAAATGGAAACAGCCGCTGCCGCAGGTAATCATCGTAAGCCATTCCGTCTGATACGGGAAACAGGCAGCAGGAGACCTGATATTAGCGAGACCATACGAGACAAGAGTGGGCAGCCGATCCACAGCCTGTCAAAACGCTTGCAGCGTTGGGCTGAAGCCTTTGCAAAGTAACCTAACCAATCCGAGTCATCACTTTCTTTTCTGGGCATTGATAGCAATTATCCAAGAGCCATTTCCTTGGATTCGCCCTCACGCGCAGAAGTCGAACGTGAGATCCGGCTGTTGAAATTGCATAAGGCTGCAGCAACAGATAGAATTCCCCCAGCCCTCTTTTAATTCGGGGGACCTGTTCTAATAGATAATCTACACGAGCTGCTAGTGAAACATTGGGAGCAGGAGACTGTGCAGACAGACTGCAGCCGCTCCGTCATTTTCCCCATTGTCAACAGAGGCTCATATTCGAAATGCTGGATCAGTCTGATATCAATTGCCTCTATCGTTCTCCACAGACTGACTGCCACTTGTGAAAGCCAGATCCATGAAGAGCAAGCCGGATTTCGCCGAGGTCGGGGCTGCATCGACCACATCTTCAACTTGCGTCAATTGTTGGAGCACCGCCATGTTTATTTGCGACCAACTGTTGTCGTGTTTCTTGACATAAAAGGTGCCTTCGACTCAGTCGATCGACGTGCACTTTGGGACCGACTGCTGAGGAAAGGTGTGCCTGATAAATATGTAAACATTATAAAAGCGCTGTACGCACATTTCGGGCAGAATGGGGGTTTATGGCAAACTGTAGCCACTCTTCAGTATCACCAGCGTGTGAGACAAGGTTGCCTGCTGTCACCTTTCCTCTTTAACTTCGCTATTGATGAAGCCATGGAAACAGCGTTCGCTGGACACGACCTACAAGATGTGAACCTACTTCCTGGTAAGCGACTTCTTGACTTAGAGTACGCGGACCATATTGCCTAATCTGTGACAGCTCCGAAACATGCCAAGCAGCATTGGACCGATTAGCTTTGGCTGTCAATCGTTTTGGGTCATGCTTTGCTCCATCGAAATGCAAAGTACTTCTCCAAGATGAACAGGAACCCACCTCTGCGCTAACGGTTGGTGGTGATAAGCTAGAAGTCGTTCAGGAATTTAAGTACCTGGGCAGCTATATTAGCACCCGAGGGATCGAACATGATGTTACGAACCGTATGGCAAAAGCTCGAGGTGCTTTTGCCAATCTCCGCCACCTGTGGCACAGACGCGACATTAATCTCGCCCTGAAGGGCAGAGTTTATAACGCAGCCGTCCGTTCAACTCTCCTATATGGTTGTGAAACCTGGCCCATCAGATCGACAGACAAAAATAGGCTCGTCACATTCGATTATCGCTGCCCTCGCAGATTAGCTCATGTCTGGTGGGAGCACCGCGTGAGCAATGAGCGTGTTCGACGTCGCGTATTTGGTGCAGGAAGAGCGAGTGAACTGCTCAGCACCATTATATCACGCACCAGGCACCGATGGCTGGGCCACGTGCTGCGCATGCCAGCACACCGACTTCCGCGATGTGCATTGTTTGCGCACCGTGGACGCGGTTGGAAGAGCAGGAGGCCAAGAGATGACTTCGTCGAGAGAGATGAAAACCCTCACTTCGAAGTTGGCCTCGGTTGGTGCATCCCGACTGTCTGGCTGGGGTCCTAAGGACGATGAACACACTTGCTGATATGGCTAGGAGGCGGCCCAGTGGCGTTTGTGTTGTGAGTTCCTTTGTCCATCCTCCTCCTGCTTAGTCTCCGCCTCCAATCACGGTCGCATTCGTTAGGTATAACATAACGTTTGCGGCACGATAGCCGGCTGTTAGCTCTCCAGAACGATATCTATCCGTTACTGGGGACTCAGCCGGCGTGCCACTGTTATTTTTTCTTCTTGTCCTTTATATTGTGGTACAATATAGCTGAGGTGTTTTCCACCTGCAGCTAACGTGTATAATGATGATGATGAAGATGTGACATAAACAGTGGGAGTGTAACCCGACCAAACAGTGGAGCTTTCCCTTACTAGACGGCTCACCTGATTAGTTAGAGGTCATCGGCCAAAGAATACTGTCACCGGATGGTGTGCATCGGTTGTCTTGTCAACCAGGAGCGTGGACTGGCAAACACATCTGATGGAACGTATTTCTATAGAACGGAACGATCGGTTTTCCCAGAGGTCGCGCACACCCAAGTCTCTTGTCAACTATATTGCTACGGGGGCTAGCGTTGGTTAGAAAGAACACGACAGTACGAGTGGGTTGGCTCAACTTGCTCACCCAAGATAATGCGGAAACATATATATATATATATATATATATAGATATATATATATATATATATATATATATATATATATATATATATATATATATATATATATATATATAAATCCAGCGGAATAATCTTATCACCCGGTCAGAAGAATGTTATCGAACAATCTAACATTATTATTGATAAGTGTGGCGAAAACAGATAACTTCTAGGCTCATCGGGTACATGTATATAATGCTAGTGTAGTTATTAAACTGGTGATCGAAATCTCGTCTTTCTAATCAGCCAGTCAGGACGTTTGAGTTCAGAATAGCCAATCGAAGCGATACAGTGCGACCTTCGGGGAGCACGATAGAATATATTAGGTTGGAAAATATGAAACGGGCGTTTTTGTTTCGTCTGTGTTCAGCTGCGGTTGAGAGTTCATTGTAACGTGCGCCCGATACTTTTATTTAGAAATTTTAAAGATATTCTTCTTACTCATTTCGTAAAACTTTCGTGTTCGTTACCGAATTTTTATTTTATTTTTCTCCAAAAACAGATGGAAATAAAACGCGATTTACATCTATTTTTCTTGTGCGAATTCAAACGGAATCATAGCGCAGCTTCGAGAAACATTAATCACGCATTCAAAGATGGATCCGCTAACAAAAATTCTTGATATTGGTTCCAAAAATTTCGTTCTAGCAATTTGAGTATAGTCAACGAGACTCGAGGAAGACCACCGGCTTATATTGATAAGGAGAAATTAAGGACGACTGTGGAATCCGATCCACATACAAATATTCGTGAACTTGTGTGTAAACTCGGAACTAGTCATATGGCTGTGTTAAAACATCTGAGGGCAATAAATAAAGTGAAAAAATGGACTCATGTGCCGTACGAACTGACGCAATCGTAGGTGATCGACCGCAAAAGCGTGCGCATCTTGTTGCTTCGCAATACACGATTGCTGTTTTTACACCAAATTATCACTTGTGATGAAAAGTGGATTTTGTATGATAATCGAAAACGATCAAGCAAATGGGTGGGTAAATATACATCACTAAGCCTTCATTTCATTAAAAAAGATTATGGTTACCATGTGGCGAAATGCCAAAGGAGTAATCCATTATTCCTTCCTACAACCAGCGGAGATCTTTTACCGTGAAATTGATGTCATGCATAGGAAGCTTATGAAAAAGCAACCAGCATTGCGCAATCGGATTGGCGCATGGTAACACAAGAGCACATACAGCTTCAATCACTGTTGCCAAATTAACTTCTCTACAATATGAAATTTTACCACATCCTCCATATTCACCAGATATTTCATTGACCGATTATTACTTTTTTCGTAATTATGAATTATTTTTAAGAGAGAAAAACTTCAATAACCGAAATGATATTATAAAAGACCGAATTGTTTATTAATTCTAAAAAGTAATATCATTTTTCAAAAATTGTTGGCAGAAAGTCGTAGATTCCGATGAAAGTTATTTCGATTGAATATAGTAAATAATGTGAAAATTGCGCTTTTTGTTTTTATTGTTATTCAACGCCCGCTTCAGTTTCCAATCTAATAGCAAATTAGGATGGATCTGTCCCCAATTATTATCATCAAGCGGAAGTGCCAGCGCAGTTGGGTGCTACATGGGAAGAGAGTATCCAACAAAATAAAAAGCGTTATTGGGAACACTTTCTGGTTTAAAAGATGTAGTAGTCTTGTAAAGGTTGTCGCGGTACGCTGAACCAAACACAGATTTAATACTAGATAACATGTTCCAGAGCGCAGGCGAGTATATTACTCTTTGCTATCATGAGTGCCAAGTCTCAAATCAAGGCGGACTCTAGGAAGGAATGTGTCTAGCAATCGGTGTGATACAACGCCGTCTTTGTCTAGGCGCGTGCTCGGCGGTACGAGTCGCGACAACAAAATCGACAGCATAAAGGTATTTTGATCTGATCAGGACAACGATAATAAACGTATGTTCTTAATCCGGACGAAATAAACGAATTTGCCAATGGCCATCGGAGTGCTATTCTACACAATCAGTGTCGGAAATGAGGTATGCAAAGAAACGCCTTTTCTAATTGTATTATTGTCTATTAAAAAACCACAGTTGCAGTCTTGATACCCATGGTATTCGCTATCAGTTATAAGAGATTGTGAGCATTTTGTTTGAAGGAAAGATTTGCATAACAACTTCGACACCTGGAAGATTTACACGAGAATTGAATATATTTGGAAGACAATGAAATTAAGACTGCTGTGAGCATTGGCGTTGCGGGACCGCTATGTAGAGTTAGGCCATCGCATCATCTACAGAAAATAAGTTCGCATCAACATCGGAAAGTACAAAGGCAAAAGACCAACCGTAAGGGGTGAAGTTGAATAGCGGAGGTAGTGGCCTGTCATTTGGCAAACGTGTCTGCTCTAGTCGCAGCTCGTCGAAGAAAGGATGCAGACATGCATCCAGTGGTTTCAGACGTTTGCTCGGAGTATAATCCAGTAGTTGTGAAACTAGTTGTATAGCATCTGGGGGTACACGCGGTCGGAATACCTGTGATTGGCGAGACCAGAAAGCGGAAATCAAACACTGATAAAGAAAAAAGGTCTGGCTGCAGTCAAAAAACTTAAATTCAAACCTTCATATGTGGTAAAAGGGAGCGGCGCAATATAAACAGAAAATGGAAAGACAAGGTGCCATCATGAAGTAATGATCAAAAAGCAGAAACCAGACTGGTGCATGAGAACACCAAGATCTACTTCTTTTTCTCTAGATATGCACTATGAATAAGAATACGATGAATTCGCAGTAGCCACCTCAGTGTAGATAGCATAGTCAATTCTCTTTTCGCCCCCTCAGGCCAACAATTGCCTACTCTGTCTGCAACAGTGGACCAATGGAAGACTAGCATTTTAGCCATGCTCATGAGATAAAATCAAGAATGTTTTGAGTAAATCCCAACTGAAAGGATTGGATGTGGGTCAGATTCAAATCAACGACTATCATCGTGGAGAAATGTGAACGGGAGAAATAAAACGCCATGCACCCAAGTAAACGAAATCTTGAGTGTGTCTACAGTGGGGATGCTGTTGAGGTTAGACCGATTATGAGGAAATGAAGACTAAGCGCAGAACCACACAGTGCGCTTGTTCGTGACTGAAAATTACCCAACTATAACCCGTCTCGGTTGTTTCGCAAGCAGGGTCCATGGAAAAGTCTTCGACAAAGAAATCGAACGGTGTATATATTAAGAATGGATTACGCATCCGATGGCTTTTGCTACATGTAATTGATCCCTTCTTTTGGCAATTACATGTTTCTTCATCTGACCTCGCCAATTTCCCCGAAACCTGTCACCTGTAGATTTGTTTTCAAGTTAGTGTCCATTGTTACTTCCCCCTTCCAGTGTCTTGTAAGCACAAGTTATTGCATCTGGATCCACCGCACTTTGGTTGTAGGATCACGGTTAACCAGCTGAACTGAGGTGCTCGTCAGATGTCGTTCTGGTGATCGCAGCGCCAGTGATCAAAGGCTGATGCATGCAACTCGACAAGAGAATGGTATATATCCCCAGAGTAGACGGTTGTTCAGAGCTTTCGTAGATCGGGTTGGTCACCGAGCTGGATGGGTTGTTTTCAGACGTCTTGCTACCGGTTTGGCGCAACGTCCACGGAAGCTGCCTCATATCACAGAAGTAATCCCAAAAGAGTGCACAAGAGTGCAGCTATAGGGAATTTCTTGTGATGGTCAACGTCGGCGTGGTGATGTTGGGAGAAAAGGAACGCTGGAACTCGCGTTAGTGTTTCCGAAAGGGGATGTTTGAGTAACGTAAACATCGAGATAATATGCATGGTCGACATGACGTTAGTTTGCATGTTTTAATGAATGTGCGTGAAATAGACAATGTCTTTTGGGTCAACCCGCATTCGGAGAGCAACATCCGGGTGTTCAGGATAAAGTGTGTTATAAGTGAAGCGTATTGCCATAACCGCAGTGATGAACCAAGTAGCATGTTGGCCGGAACGGTCAGAGTAAGTGGACCCAACGAATGTTACAATGCCATAACCACTTCATTCTACTAATGCCATTACATAAGACTGTTGAAAACGATTTGTGTGTGTATTCAAAAACAATTTTATTCATAGCGGCTTATCTGCTTACTGTCCAATTACAGGAGCCGAGGTGTAGAAGATCGAACGGATCCAACATGTCGCTACCAGGCCCATTCCAAGTCTACGAGGATTACCGGATGAATAAACTGGAACCCTAAACATTGTCCTATCGTCGGGTGCTAGTCGATCTCATCATGACCTATCGAATATTACATCTCGGTAACGTCCCTATGTTGAGGCCGCTACTTCACTTACGAACGCCATGCAGCGCATGCGGACACCAGTACCAGTTTGTGGTGCCGCATATAAGACGATGACCCCACCTCGAACGGAGAGTGGCAAATGTTCGGAACAGTCTGCCAGAATAAGTCCTCGAGGCCAAATCTCTGCAGCAGCAGTTCAAAACGATGTTGGATTCACATTTCACAGTCATTCGATTCAGAGAACGAGTACACAGTAACAATGACATCTTACATTTGTGAGCCCAGTGAAAGTGTCGGACATTTTAAAATGCTAGATAAGAACTTGAAGAATGACTGGACAAGCACAGGTGGCATAAACTTTTTATTACAATTCTAACTATACTGCGACGGAGTTGCACAGATCCAAATTTCAACTTGCTCCCACAATACAGCATTCAGTAATGTTCAAAAAACTATATCGAAGCTGTTTGTCAAATAACTGCGCCAATGCACATGCTAACCAGATAACACATCACTGTCGGTTGTGTATACTGATGTCCTCCTCACGAAGGCATACATCTTGGGAGCTACGTATAGAAGGGGCTAAACTGATGAACACCAACAAAAGTGAGATGATTTGAGTGAAGATATTTGTATCATGTTTCCCGAAAACGTGAACATGAGCCGTCCGGTTATGAACCAAAGTTGTTGCTTCTCTCATTTCCGAGGATGAGCTCCGTATCCGCGACAAGCGCTAGCACGCGAGTTTCATTTCGGTCTCCACGAAGGCTATAATGACAATCTACGCCCAATGGCTGGGTTTCAAACAATAAAATTGGGATTATGAGAGAGTGGAGAGAAGTTATGTTATACCTAACGAATGCGATCGTGATTGGAGGGGGTGGATAAAGGAACTCACAACACAAACGCCACTGGGGCCAACTCCTGGCCATCTCAGCAAGTGTGTCCAACCAAACGTGTTCATTGTCCTTAGGACCCCAGCCAGACAGTCGGGATACACCAACCGACACCAACTTCAAAGTGAGGGTTTTCATTTCTATCGACTAAGTCATCGCTTGGCATCCCCTCCTCCTCCTCCAACCGTACCTACAACGCGCAAACAATGCACATCGCGCGAGTCACTGTGTTGGCATGCGCAACACTTGGCCCAGCCATCAGAGCCTGGTGCGTGATATAATGGTGCTGAGCGGCTCACTCGCTCTTCCTGCACCAAATACGCGACGTCGAACACGCTCATTGCTCACGCGGTGCTCCCACCAGACATGAGCTAATCTGCGAGGGCAGCGATAATCGAATGTCTGTCGACCTGATGGGCCAGGTTTCACAACCATATAAGAGAGTTGACCGGACGGCTGTGTTATAAACTCTGTCCTTCAGAGCAAGAGTAATGTCGCATCTGCGCCACAGGTGGCGGAGATTGGCAAAAGCACCTCGAGCTTTTGCCATACGGTTCGTAACATCATCTTCGATCCCACGGGCGCTAATATAGTTACCCAGGTACTGAAATTCCTGAACAAAGCGTTAGCGCAGGGGTAGATCCTTGACAATCTTGGAGAAGTACTTTGCATTTCGATGGAGCAAAGCATGACCCAAAACGATTGACAGCCAGTGCTAATCGGTCCAATGGTACTTAGAAGGTTTGGGAGCTGTCACAGATTAGGGCAATATCGTCTGCGTACTTTAAGTCAAGAAGTAGCTCCACATCTTCTAGGTCGTGTCCAGCGAACGCTGTTTCCATGACTTCATCAACAGCAAAGTCAAAGAGGAAAGGTGACAGCAGGCAACCTTGTCTCACACCGCTGGTGACACTGAAGGGTGGCGACAGCTTACCGTAAACCCTCACTCTGCCCGAACTATGCGGATAAAGCGCTGGGGACTCAGCCGGCGTGCCATTTTTTTCTTATCCTTTGTATTGCGGCACAATAGCTGAGGTGTTTGCCCACCTGCAGCTAACGTGTATGATAATGATGAGTGGAGAGAATGGGAATCCGATGGAGTGGTTGATTGAACTTTCATAAAGGAGAAAGCTGGCTGAATATAAATGCATAGTGGGATGCAAAGACGGAAATAGGTTTCCATTTGAGTAATCGAGGTGCATTGTTTCAGCGAAATAGGAAGGCGATAAACTAGTCCGATCGACAGCAAGCACTGGATGAGCAGAAATCAAGGATAGCCCAAGGAAAATTAGCAAAGGACAGCGCACTGACTCGACTTATTCTAGATCATCCTGTTCCTGAGTATGACAGGGTTTAATAAATTCTGTTTTAGTACTGGGTGCAGTGGGATATGTGGTAGTCATGATGAACTCGAGTGTACCATAAGATTTCTCAATATACTTCTTGGTTTTACATAGCATGAAGATACCGCGTTTCTGGACACCAGTGTAACTGAGCTGAGTGGGCAACTTGTTGAGATCGTTTGGAGAAAACCGTGCGGCTAAATTTTAAGATTGTCTCGTGAAAGTAACTTGGTCTGGATGGCATTACCTTGCTTACCATAGTTACCAATATACAGGTAGTTTACACTGCTTCCCCTCTTCCTCGTCATCAAAGACTAGGCATTACGAAAAACAGTACTGGGGCTAAGGTGGCAAATTGCTGAGAAGTGCCATCAATGTTTTGATTACATTTGGTAATAGAGCTCGGTGAAATAAGCAGATGGAATGATAACGGAAAGATACAGTTCAACAGTGACAGCAAGTTACCAATGGCCTGTAAATTGTGATAACACTATTTTTGGTGAGTATGCTGAAAAGATGGTTTTTACTCATCCGAGTGAGCAGAAAGCTGTTTGATGTGTTACAGAGGCAGAAAGTGCAAAGATGACAGCAGCCACGAGGTCAGCGTCACAGTACATTTCTTAGAAGACGGTGAGGGAAAGAGTTAATAATAGAGGAGAGAAACACAAAAAGGAGAATGGGTATTGCCCACGGTTAAATTGGCAATATTCCGAGCTTCTAGTGATGAATCTGTGACTACCTGAAAGCGTGGATAAAGAAAACTGGCTAATTGTGTACAAAATTACTGGGATGAAACCGAATACCCAGTCCAAACACCGGAAAGCCGAGATGCTACCCCAACATGTGGATACCATGTGAGAGCAAATAATGCAGTGCAATGAGGTCTGTGAGGCTGTCAAGAAACACTGTGAACGGGGTGACATTTGGCTTGATCATATCTACATAAAACAAGATAGTGAGAGGTTCGTCCGTGCGGCGTCACAGGCAAGCAATAGGCAACAGTGAAATTAAAAAAAACTGGCAGAAACGAGATGCCACACCAGTCTCAAAAGATACCTTGGACCATAAATGCGGTCGAATTTGGGGAAATCTAAAATCGCGGTAATCCGGATTCATTTCATGAATTTGGTCCCGTGTTGGTGTGCCCAAAACTTTGATAATTTCGACCAGCTGATCAACACCACTGTCGCCCGGAAATATGGGTTGTCCAAGGAGAAGTTCAGCTAGCACGCAACCGGATGACCAGATATCTGAAAGAGGAGTAACACGATGCTAAATAGTGTATGATTGGAGGCCGTACACTTGACCATTTTAAAACGCAGGAAGCCAATACTGTTGCAGATAGTGGGTGGATTGTGAATCATTAGGAAAACCTCCTCTGTGCACGTAGCACAGGTGGTGCACAAACTGGACCGCCTAGTGGGTCATGTGCTTCTATCACCCTCCAAGTCAACAGAACTAACGTTCTAGTAATCGGTGACAAACCACCGCCATGTGATTTGCATTAACGGCGTCGAGAGTAACAACGTCGAAACAAGTGCAGGGGCATTTTATTGTGATCACCTGAAGAACTCCAATTCATTGACTGCTCAATGAAATAAGTGTCTAAATTAGTCAGACAGCGATTACTAGAGGTTGTGCACTGAATAAGATGCGAACGTGTCGGAGCCAGCACGGTGGTATGATGGAATGACAAACAGTTTAGTAAGGCCAGAATGATTGGGGGAAATGTATCCCATGAGACCAAAAACATATACAAAACAAGAAAAAGGACAGCAATGCAAAGTCAAACCCTAGTATACGGCGAAAAATTGCGGATGCAAGGGGTAGCAACTGCCAATCATCACTCTAGTAGCACAACACCTGGAAAAGAGGCGGTACTTGGTGCGACAATGGGTGGTTGAAATAGCGAAAGAGAAGCGGGGTGCTATGATCAATTGTTCAGTTAACAAAATATGATTTCTGTGTTTCTGGATCTAGCTCCGATGCCGGATGCGCCGCGCACCATAGAGTTCAAACAATAGCCCTCCCTCGAACCTCGTTCCGTATGGCAAGCTTCAAGGTACGGACACGTATGCAGTTGGGGCAGCAATCCGATCTAACGTGTTCCTCGATATTCATGTCTGCTGCCTTCCCAAAACCCGACTAAAGGACTCCAACACTACGCTTAAGCTGACATCTCCCACTACCCAAAGAGTCCAATATCACCTGCGTCTTTCTGATAACCCAAAAGCAGCGTCAGCGGGTTTGGCTGGTGTAGGTGTATCATTAGGTGTTAAGGCTGAGACCAAACTACCGGACTCGTTCCCGATTAATAGCCGACTTGTGCAGTTCCACTTCGAGGCTCACATAGAATCAACAGACATCGCGAGGAGAGTTGTTCGTAGCCTCAGGGTACACTCCAAATGACTGCAGCAGTGGCTCGCTCAAGGACGACTTTTACTGAGAACTTCAACCCTTGAGCGACGCTAACAAATCGAATGTCGTTATCCTTGCTGGGATTTCAACGCAAGGGTAGGTTGCTTGTAACCATGCGAACGAGACTTAATCGTTTATAACGCTTTCGATGAGGACCGTTCAGATAGCAGAGGTGCACTTCTCACATTGTAAGTAGACACTTGTCTTTTGCCACCGAGCATCAACTTCAGACACACGAAGAAATGTTCTGTAACTTAGCGTACCCCTTTACCAACACAAACACGGTCACCGATGATTATATCGCGATCAGCTTCAGGCAGCGGCGCAGCGTGACTGCAGATCACTGTAGCCCAACTTCATTGGCTCAGTTCATGTGCGAGTATGTGCGAAAAGCTGCATGTTTTGTGGGTCTCTAAAAACGTAGCACAGCAACATTGATGCGAACAGATTAACTGATTCCTCGGTTTAGGTAAGCTATCAATTTTCAATGGCAATGATCAGTTCCGGTAAATCAAGTCGGGGTCCTGTTTGGCGACCTTTAAAAGCTTGGATCACTGCTCGATCGCTGCAGAGATATCCCAGAAAAATCAGGTCACATTTTACGGCGCAGCGCTGCCAACCAGTTGCGCTGGGATCGCGAGGCTTGGTGCTCAGAGCCTGTCTTGTTGATGGAGGCCTCTGTCATCTTCGGCATTACTCTGAGGATTTTCCAACTCATTCGGTTCATTGGTGTTGGTGAGGCTGATGGGTCTCCGATCACCAAGCAAGAGGCGTTTGGACCGCTGGGCTGAACACTTATTCGCACTTCAATTGTCCCCACCGTCACTCTGTGTGGAGCTGCTTACCCTGGCTCGTCTCACTAGATCCACGTGATGAAGCGCAAGCCTGCCTCGAAATTGAAGCTGCCGGACTTATGGCGGCATAGTAAAAATAAATCAGCTAACCTCGCTCTTCTCCAAAATGTGGCATGAATAACAAGCGTCTTCTCCTTGAAGCAAGTTAGTTGTTCCTATTTCCAAAAAAGCATTCGCACTTCCTACATGATTCACAAAAGGATTAATCTTATTATAGTTACCACTAAGCTGGCGGCATCCACTCCGATTCTCACCCTATCCCAACTGCGTAATTCTTACCACTAGGAAGAACAAGGTGGTTTTCTTCCGCCCTTGCGTGTTGGGATTAAATCTTCATAATCCGCCAACTCCTCGAACACCGCCCACCATTGTCGCATTTGTATACAACTCGGGATACATTTCACTCTGTTGATCGACCTACTTTATGACGCTTCTTGCCAAATAATGGTGGTACCAAAGAGGTATACCACCATCTTATACATAATCTACCTTTACGCATCCGGCAAGCTTTTCTTGTCCTTCGTTATCAATACCCGTGTGCACCAAGACTGTCCTATGTTTCTGTTCCTCAGAAATTTCGCAATCAAAGAGGTATTATCGTGAGCTTTAGAAGACTCCTAAAACATTTTCTTAGAGCTTCCACTGGGTGAGCGCGCGACTGACTTAGATTATGCTGAAGATATCACGTTATTTTGTAACGAGCCCCAGTGTGCAACTCATTCCGAACCTATTAAAAGTTGGGGCATCTAGGTATGTGCTTCGTCCCTAGAAGTGTGCAGTGCTGCTGCAAGATTTGCTAACACCCGCTCCCGTGCTCACTCTTGAGAGATAGCTTCGTCTACCTTGGGCGTCGTGCTTATGCTGATGGCACTATTGGAAAGTAAATTCATAACCGCATAACTAGAGCCCCGTTAGCAATTTTTAGAGGAACATGTGACGTCGTCAGGACGTCTCTGTCCCGGTTAAGAGCTGCACTTAGATTGCCTCTGTTCGCCCAATGTTGTTATGGCAGAGCTAGTTCTGATGGATTCGCGTGGAGGACGGACATGGGACGTCTCTCCGCCTTCGACAATGGTTATCTGGGGGAGATAGCCACAGTTCACAGTGATGGCATTAAACGTCGCGTCCCTGGGGATTCGACTATACTTTCCAACAGGTTTCGCTGCACCATTTGTGATAGATCCGTTACGTCCTACGCATAGAGCTTGAGCGTTTGCCGCGCCGCGTCCTATCCACGCGTGCAGGATTAGGCTGGAGGCGATCGCGTAGTGGTCAACCATCCCCTTATCGACAGCACACGAAGTCGCTGATGTCACGAAAACACTATTGCAGATGATTTGGGGGAAATCAAGAACATCCTTCTTGAAAATGGTTATCCAGAGTGCATCAATGACATTCATATGAAGCCCAACGACCCGAGGCCCATCGTACAAACGGCTATTCCTCAAGATCCCCTTTAAAGGTGACCAAGCGGCTAAGGTATGTACGAGAAGACTAGTGCAATCTTGTAGAAAGATTTTCAACGCAGCCCACCTCAACGTGATTTATAAGAGCGAATCGCTAGTTGTCCATAGATTCAACTCGTCTGATCAACTCGTCAATGTTGATCTACCGGTTCGCCTGCTCCTGTGGAGCTAGGTACAAATAAAAATTGATGGATTATGGCAGATCTAGTGTATTGCGGAACAAGCGTGTGTGTACATGTCACAGTAACCCAAATGCGGTGAAGATGCACATGGAATGCAATAGCAACCCCAGCATTTATGTATATGTATGTATGTATATGTATATGTATGTATGTATATGTATGTATGTATGTATATGTATATGACCACTTTGATGGGTGAGTGAAACGAACTCCTTCGTCCATACGGTAGATGCCTATTCGGAACATAGTCGTATGTAAGCGGAAATTAAGAGTCTGGAGGCAGGCAGAATTCGAGTAATTGATGGAATTAGTTACTTACCGATTTGGCAGGTGTACTCCACCGCACCGAAAATTAGTTCAGGAGCCCGATAATAGCGAGAACAAATGTAGGATACATTCGGTTCACCGCGAACGAGGACTTTGGCGCTGAATGGATTGGTAAACACATAAGGTATATAACATCCTCTGTAGCATTCAAAACAAAATAAGGTTAAGAAGTGCTAATAATTATCCTAGCTTACAAAAACGCAGTCGGTTGTTGACCAACAACACAAAGTGTGCCGGAGGAAAAGCTATAGATGCTAAAACGAAAGGGAGGGTCGTGGTAATCGAAACTCCACAGAACCGCATAAGAAAGAAAATAGAAAGATTTCAAAAGGTTACTTAGAGGAGACGCATGCAATGTCCGGGCACAATATTAAAAAAGAAGCAGACAGTCCGGCTGCACTAAGTTTCATCGTTCTCAAGAAGAATATTATTGTTTTGATCAAGTGAAGTAGGAGCAAGCTCGGTACGGCACGATTGACGCCGGGAAATGGTGATAACCAGTCTGTGTCCCAGCAGAATAGAGAAACGTCACAATCAGTGGTAGCATAAGAGTATCAGTGTTTGAAACCAATGCTTCACTGACAGATAGTAGTAGTAACTAATGGGGAATGGCACAGGGTATGGGATGATTCAAAACCCAGATGTCTCAATTGAACTTTCAGGATCAAAGTACTCCCATCGCAACAAACAGCCGGTTATCATGCGGAAGCAAAGCGACCATACGAAGCCGACAAAGGGATAGCGAAATATCATCGAGAGAAAAAGGTGAAAGCTAAGGCCCAAATGGCCAAAGCAGCAATATCGATGCATAGGCACCAGTAAAGGTATAATAGAATCCGGTGTCACGGATAGGGAATACAAGCAAGAACAAAGCTCAAGATGATAAATCCGTTAAAGAAGTTAGATGGACTAAGTGTTTCATCCTGGCATTCCTTGTTTAAAAATCCACATGGAAGTAGGTGCGAAGAAAAACTCACCTTCCAAAGTCACAGAGTTTCAGGACACCGGTGGACGGATTGAGAAGCAGGTTCTGGGGTTTTATATCACGATGACAAATTCCCTTGTGGTGAATATAGGCCAAACTTCGAAGCAGTTGGTACATGTACAGCTGAAAGTGAATTGAAGTGAAAAGAGTCCAATAAACTGGTTTGATTGCTGTGATACAAAAGCGCAAAACCGTGCCCAAAGGATTATGGACACAGAATGCGAGGAGGGCTATCAGCCAAACTAAGGTGGAAAAAAATATAGTTTGCAGGTTGGTTCAGATGCTCGGGTTATGATTTACCGGTCACCGGTCGAATTTGCATAGTTGCAGTGACCTCGCAGTATCGCAACACACTTGCGACCACTGGTAATTGCGTGGCAGGGAAGCATTGGTTAGAGGCCACAGCATGCTGCTTACAGTCTTTTCGGTTCGCAGAACCGACCGATATTCAATGGATGACAGAGCCAAAAGTGGCATACAAAACAAAAGACAATGATAGATGGAATGACCTAAAGGACAAACCAGTCCACCTTATGATGACGATAACTCGAGTCTAAATGAATTCTATGTACTCGGGTGGGTGTATTATTAGCAATTCACGCCATCGATTGCAGGTGCACCATAATAGTATCATTAGAATGCAAAATTACACAAAAGAAAATGCAGAAATGGTGTATAGATGTTTCCCGAGCAAACAATCTCGGATCTTTGAGCAACGATCGCATATTGCTGAAAAGAATTATCAAGGATTTTTGTCCAGCGGAAGCGCTTTTTGGCAATCTGCTTTGATCCCAACTTGCCTCAGTTAATAATAATAATAATAATAATAATAACAATAGAGTAGGAAGTTACGCATCGAAATCCAAACACAGCAGGCACTCCAAAAACAAAATGTAAACACACATTGTGGACTGTCGAAAATATAGAGAAGTAGGGCAATCCATATCATAACAAAAGGAAATAAGAGTCCAGACATTCTGATTAAACGAGGAGCATTCAGCAAAGCAGCTCGAATTACTGACGTGATCCCGAAATAAATCGATTCCAACAAATTAAAGTGAAATATCATGGCCACGTTGCAACTCAGAAATCACACTTTATTGTAATACAAACAATAGTTGTAAAATTATTCGATTTTGATGATATCAACAGAGAAGTGAGATTAGAGAACGTCTCGTTCAGTATAGCAACTGTGCTACCTCGGTACGTCAAAAATGGATCTTACCGAGGTAAGATGGCTTGCTTACGACCATGTAGTCGCCAGCCCAATCGCGTATGTCGATCAGATTCTTTACCTACTTTCCTGTCATCGATCGGTTACTAGGAGATTTCACCTAACCGGGTTCAGTGTACAAAGGCGACAAACGTCGAGGTAGACGAGCAACAGGTGTATGAATGATACGGCGAAGCCATGCAAGAGACGGTTTAGTGTAGCATCAGACGATTCATCACAAAACGTCAACTGACAGACACAGTGGTTTGACCAAATAGGAGTAAAGCAGTGGTTCTTTCTGTTTTCGATGAAACCCAGTGTGAAACCTTGTTTTCGAAGTTGTAGCGTCCATCGAACAAGTTTACCCTCAGATTACCCACTGTTTTGAATGCATTCTAGACTTAGATTGCATCACTGCAAAAGCAGAAACGACCTCAATTTCCTGAATCATCATTATCAATAAACGTCAGCTGCAGGTAATAAACATTTCAGATAATCTGCCATAATACAAAAACAAGATATGAAAAAAAACGAAATACAAAATGTTGTAGAATGCAATAAAAAAAGACAATATGACGCTTAGTGGTCTTTTAAGCGTTAACGTGTGAGGTCGTTGGAGAAGGAATGTGAAAAGGAGGGGAAGGGATAAAGAAACAAAACAAACGCTATTGCGGCCGACTCATCGCCTATGTAACCCGTGTATAGAGGCAAAATGTGGTCATCGTCCTTCGGACGCACGGGTACCGGTAGACACCAAACAACGCTAAGTTCGAAGTGAGGGTCTTCATTTTTCCTAAATCATCTATCCTTCCATCAACACCCCGGCGCGCAAACAACGCATTACGCGGGTTGGTGTGCTGGCATGCGCAACACGTGGCCCAACTATCGGAGCATGGTGAGTGGAATAATGGTGCAGAGTGGTTCGCTCGCTTTTTCTGCACCAAATACACGACGACGAACATGCTCATGCAACAACAACAACAGCAAAACAACAACAATAACAACAACAACAACATACATCAGCCATTCAAGCTGATGATTCACTACCATGCAACCACAAAGACCAAAGGAACAGGAGTAAGAAAAGGGGGAGAAGGAGGGACCTAGCATAAAACCTTAATACCCTAAATAAACATTCAAGGTTAAGGCGTCTACACCTTGTGCCAACAACATACTGTCGTAAACACCTGACTATTTTGCAAAGATAAAGCGGTATCGTCGAGACAGCTTCCTTGCGGTTTTCAATGTCCAGTGTCATAAACAGCCGGTACCTCGCAGGTAACAGCATCAAACACCCGTCAAACAGACAGTCCGACTAGGAGACGGCAGCAGACGCGCAACTGCTGCCGACTGCGAGCCATGTCCTGTAACGCCTAGAGAGAAGCATAAGGCGAGTCACGTGGACTCCAGCGTGGAAGGCGAAACGGACAGACAGCACCGAGTTCAATAGTCAGTGACTTCATTTCCCGCCGTCAACTATGGTACACCTCCAGCCCTGTGCCACCCTACATCCGGCAGACAAAACAAGACTCTCATAGGTAAGCTGTAACCGGGCATATGAAGTATGTGTCCATTTCAAGACAAATTTTCAGTGCTATCTGTTGTTCGAAGTAATTAGCATAAGTAACAATACCTGGCACTCGCATAAGCGCATCATTGTTGCGGACATGCTGGTATCATCCGACAGCAGCAATGCTTGTCGGAACTCGGCAGGGGCCTGCTGGAAGACGCACCACTGACGAAACACAGAAAGTTGAAACACCGATGTCTGGTGCTTTTTCAAACTAGCCTAGGCCTGCTGACTGAGAGTAGACCGTGATGAAATATCTCTAAGCATACCAAATCCCTACTACTCATCAATAATATAAATCTGTCCGTATAGCATTTAAGTCCTTGCTTTGTACCACGGCGCTATGCGGAAAGTCCTTGCTAGTGAGGCTAGCTGCTGTCCTCTGCACAGTTCGTAACTGGCATGGCAGTCGGAGATGAGTCTGGCTATATCACAATCAACTGTCAATCATGCAGGTCCGCGGCTGTTAACCATGGCGAAGTGGCACTAACTGCTGGTATCCGAAGTCATGGGGGCCGAACCCGGCAGGGGTCAGGTGGAAGGTGCACCACTGACTAGACCCAGAAGATCGTAACACCGGTGTATGGTGCTCTTCCAGACTGGCCTAAGCCTGCTGACTAAGAGTAAACCGTGATGAACTATCTCTAGACAACGATGATCAGATCGGAGGAGCCGAGTCTCAGTCTTAAAGAGTAGGGTGACCATCACCGTGGCCTTGTAAACAAGACCTTTTAAATCGAGGGAAACTTCTTTCTGGCACCACCGGTCGCAGATTCAAAAGGCAATTCTAGTTTTTTCAATACGTGAGGTGACTTCAGCGCTTATGCGCCCATCACTGTTGATACAGCTGCCAAAATAAGTGAACTGATCAACTACTTCGAGTTCCTCGCTACCAAGGGTCAAGGAGCCATCATGTGGCTGGTGGTCTTCTAACAACACTGCACTTTGAAGGTTCGAAGCGCGTGCCGAATGATGGGACCACTCTAGGAGTGATGGTGCGAACCCAGTATTGCTTAACAGCAAGACAATATCTTCCGAATAATAAAGATCAAATAGCTGTTCAAAAGGAAGCACATCAACGCTTGCATCGTGAGATTCCGCAAAGGAACACTCCATGATGGAGACCACAACAAAAGTAAACACAAATGGGGAAATTCGGCAAACCTGACAAACGTCACTTGTTGCCGGGAAGAGATCCGACAGACCACCGTAGTATGGACGCAGCCTTTAGCGTTCGAGTATAGAGCACGTAAAATCTTCACATATTTCATAGAAACCCCTTTCGGCGTCAATGCTTCGGACAGAATGCATCGATCTACTGAATCTAATGCATTCTTGAAGTCGAGGAACACAGCTATTGTCAGTTTGGGATATGAATGGCGCTAGTCTAGCACCGGCCACCGTGAATATCTGGTCTGTACAATCCCGTCCTGGGCGGAAGTCGGCCTGATCTTCCCTAATCCGAGATTCCCACTCCACATTGAGGCGAAGAGCGAGAATTGAGGCTAGTAATTTTGCCTCGACCGGCGTTACGCTAATACCCCTGTGGTTAGCACAGTCAGCGCGAATGCCCTTCCTGTAGATAATTATTGTAATCGATTCATTCCAGTTAGGTGGGACGGTCTCTCTTTCTTCCAGGCATGTTCGAACATGGAGGTTAGTGCTTTGCAGAAGACCTCACCACCATCTTTAAACAGTGCACGTGGGAGGTAATACGGGCCAACATCACAAAATAATGGTCGAGGGCTGTGACTGCGTTTCGGACTTCAGCATCCGATGAAGGCTCTAAACTAACCGTCCATGGCTCATCCTGCATCACCTGAGTAGGAATAGGTCCGGAAGCAGACGTCAAATGAACTGATCCTGGAAGTGCCCCGCCCAATGATATGTATGGCGTTATTTATTGTGAATCTGGGCAACCGCGCTTTAATTGTTCCACTGACGCCTAGATTCATGGGACCAGTGGTGCGAATCAGTTGGAAGGGCTTGTGATCATTGCCTAATGCCCCCACCTCCTCCATTTCTTGAGCCCGATTAGTCCACCGAACTTCCTTGTCAGCACCCAGACTCCGCTATAGTTCGCGACTAATAGTCCGCCTGGTCACATTGTGTCTAGAGCCAGCCGGGAGGATTCTCCTAGATTCCAACAGGTTCACCGAACTCAGATATCTAGTGACTGATGCGGTGACGACTGATAGTAGCACCAGCAGAGGCTCCTGTGTCATGGCGGTCGAGATCCTATTCCATTGAAGCTCAGTGTCATTAGGATAAGAGAGCAAAAGTTCGGTACGCAGAGCATGCTGGTAGGCTTGATTCACCGTAGGCTGAGGTAACCACTTTGTTGCCAATCGAGGGAGAGGCTTGGTGCGCCTTCCGGTAAAGTTAATGGAAAAGCGACAGCGTATCAAGGTATGATCAATGTCGCGGTAGGTATGGAACCACGCCATCTGTAGCTTATGGAAATTTGATCTAGTTGGGTCCATTGCTGGCCAGTTACTGGAGGACGCTAAGTTGCACTGGAAAACGGGGACACTTGAGTACGCTCAATATTATGCAGCCTGATCGATCAAGTAGACAGAGTGCCGTTGAGTATTCTTTGCAACGGTCAGATTATCAAGAAATCGCTTAAGGATAAGATCATTGTATTGAGTGGACAGGATACTGTCAGGTTACACAAGCCAAGATAGGAGTACGATTAGAGTACTCAACCAAATATTTGGTTCCAAAATTGACCACAAGACAGTGGGGTCCGTCTTATGGAGTAAGGAGCTGTCCTGCTACCAATCCCCAACCTGGACGACCGGGAGGATGAGTTTGTCTGATCTCTAAGCTTTGACCAATCTAGTATGAGTGGCAGAGAGAACATGAAGAAGCCCACCGAAGACTGAGTTAGATTGATGCTTTTCATCGAAATCGGCCACGTCAAGGGATGGACACCTAATGGGAAATGATGCAGGCACGGAGTTGGCGGTGTTCTGGTACGCGTCCCCTCACTTCGGACCGTTTACTATTTCCTCTGACAATGTTGAGTCATTCAAGTTGAATTTAAGAAGCACGCTGTGTGGTTGGGTTGCGACTCGCAACTTCTGTTGAGACCTCGGCTCACTTTGAGGTAAACCTCGGTCATTTCGATCTCGAGGACCGTATCCTGAATGGATATGTTTTGTTATCACTAAATGTGACTGCAGTTGTTATAATGATAATTTTACTACTTCGGTAATGGCTTAAAGCGCCTAAGTGAAAGCATCAGAATTAGCAAAGTGAACAGAACAGAACTAAGGTTGCCACAAAATATAATGGTCTAACCCGACCGTTTTGTTTGCGGGATAGTGAACTCTGTCTCAAAGAAAATCCTTCACGTGACCGATGTAACCATAATGATCTTCAGAAAAAAAAACTAAATAACCGAGCAGACAGCGACAAAGTGCATGCTGTTAGTTAAGATATCGATATAGTAATCGACGAAAAAGGTCGGTAGCCCGTCAGCATGTTTAGGCCTCGGTTAAAATGGAAGTAGGAAATTCTATGGCCTGAGAACAGAATTTAATTCGAGTATAACAAATGCTGTAGATAAAAGACCAAAGCAGTGTAGAGTAAGTATCAAGTAGATAGAACTACAAGTGAGATTCTAAGAATATGGCACTTAAGAAAGAACAGCAAATTCACGGTGTCTTCCGCGAAATATTGTGGAGGCACAGTCCGACAGAAAGCGTTCAACACGAGGATAGGTGGGCGGCTGACTCATGCATACAGCATTTGGTGGAAAGCAGGTAACTTACCTTGAGGAATAATATAGGAATTGTTTCCTTTTGCCGGCTATATCGACGAGCGACCCGGTAAACAGTCTCGGGTACGAATTCAAGTACTAAATTGAGGTAGACATCATCTTTCTGTGATACGGAGGATGAAATAAACGAAAAACTAGGGTCAGGGCAGCTGTGAACAATAGAACAAATCGATGTAGCCAGAAAATTGTAACAAATGATGTGATAACTTGTTGATAATTTACGAGGGAGCACCCTTGTCAGACTTCTTTAATCACCATATAAACAAAATTAACTACGATGAATGTACACATAGATGTACCTTAGTAATCCGAGGGCGCCAGTTCCAGTCTGCTTACGAACCGCGAGATCTTCGCAGTATCCGTAACTCACGTGAAACTTCTGGTGGTTGCGCGGCCGCGAAGCGTCGGTAATGTGCACCGGCGTACTACTGACACCTTTTTAACAACGAAGACAGTTATGCGTATATATATATATATATATATATATATATATATATATATATATATATATATATATATATATATATATATATATATATAGTGACCCATTCTGAGGCTGATGTTGCATTCATGATGCTTCTTCACCGCAGATGGCTAAACCAAATTACACTTAAACCAGGTCTTTTTAATGTGGATAAATATCGTTACCTTTTATTTGGATTGTTCTGCGTACTTGATAATCTTCTCCTTACTTGCACACGTCGCTCACACAAATTGTGGTAAACTTGCGTAATTGTATCGCGTGGTATTTTTTAAATAACTTTCGGACATTTTGTACTTATCACGGATTCACTTATAATCAATTTCTTCTATATGCTCATTTAGCGAGAATTTATGTCGTCATATGCGTTTACTTTAATCGGTATCGGCATTTCGAATGATTGGCTGTTGTTTGACATCCCAGGTGTGGCTGCGCTTGATGTGCATGCTAACAAGGTGCCTACCTGTCTATTACCCCCTACCTCGTCCATACTGGCTCCAGGACACAGTTGGTCGTTGCTGGAGGGGACGGGGTGCACGGTCCTTGTGGTCGTGATAGGCTCTAAGAGTGGTTCTATGCACTCAGTGTGGAGCGGACTACGGTCTAGCCAACGTCTTGTGTGCACTTGATTCCCCAAATACAGCGTGCTTGTGTTTGCCTGTGAAGGAGTGTGGGCCGGCTCCGTTGATGAAACGTGGCTCTCATTCACCCGCCTCCCGGTCTTATTCCTTCGGGTTTACACTGGATATGGGGTGTGTGGATGGAGCTGTGGGTGGTGCAGCGCAAGCCATCCATGGTCCCTTTGTAGGCGCAGGCGTCCTGTGGCTTGCCACAGTGACAGGCAAATCCGAAACCGGATGCCGCCAACCATATATATATATATATATATATATATATATATATATATATATATATATGTCGGGAGAGGCTATGGTGAGCTGAACCTTGTGGTAGCTAGATCCTGACAGACGGTCTACCACTGCTGATACTGTTGTGCCATTGACTCATGTCCTGGACGCCTCCTCCTGACGGTCACTCTTTGGGAACTGGGTTGCGCCGTTCTTCCTGCTAAAATCCAGGAAACCGATTCGCATGAGTCAGTGAACTGACCATGTGCTAGACCAGCTGCCTTTCCGTTGGACATTTAATCGAAGGCTTTGGCTGAGGACCCGAGTCGTTCTCCTGTCAGGTGTGAGCGCCCTGTTAGTATCCTAGCCCATCCTCTTCGGAGGTTAGGAAGTGGTCGATGGACCTCTTTCCGTAATACCTAGCAATGGGAGACAACAGGTCTACGGGTTATAAGCTCACAGCTCGATTGGCATAGAGCACGAGCGCCACGAATTGCCTCTTACAGTGGGAGGGCACGTCCGTGTGCTCAATGGTTTACTACTGTCCGCCTCAAACCAGGCAGCCCCTGATCAAATTGGCGCAAACCCACCAAAACCCACCTCCATCTGGCCGTAGTCGCAGGTGCGTATCCTATTACTGTTGCAAAACATATGAATTGTTCCAGATCTGCAAAGGCTGGGTGTGACGGCCGTCAAGCAGATCCCAATCAGTCTCTGCAGTGACATTCCCGAGCTGGATCTGCTCCCCGCTACCTTGTGCGTCAGGCTATTGAGCCAAAGGCTTCGGGTGGAGTCCCTCAAGTAAACCTCCGAAGCACAACCGCCACCACGCGTACGATCGCTCACCAATGCAATCCTATGCCTGCGCGCAATGCACTCAGCATCGGGTGCTGGAACGTGCGCACACTACTGGACCGTGTCGTGTTCAAATACTTTGCATTGTTTCTGCCCTCGACTCACTTATCCTACTCACACTTCTAATTAGCATTTGTTGGTCAGTCATGTGATCTTGCATTTGATTGATTGCAATTCGAACGTCTATGAATTTAATTGTAACGCGCGTATGTGCAGACAGCTTTTTCCATACATACATTTTGGTACTGCTCTGGTCTACTGCTTTTTCGGGATACAACAAATTGGCATCGCTTGTTACCGATGTCTTTGCATGCTACTGCTCCTGCACCGTTCTGGACTGACTCAGTGGTTACCCCAAATGCAGAATGCCGGGAAGACTGGAAAATTAGCTTCTCAGATTAGATTTCTGCGTTATCAGTTCTCAATTCATCCGTGAGGCTGAAAACGGAGGATAGTTTAAAGCTTTTGCGCTTGCACGGCTCAGAAGGTCGACGTATATTTGATGCTCTAAACCTGTTGGAGAAACCCACGTTGATAGAGGCCTTATCGGCCCTCGATAAAAATTGGGGTGTTCGAGTGAACATTTATACGTCTCGGTACAATTGTTCGCAGCTGAAACAAGCATCTGGTGTATAAGTGGATGCATTCATTTCCCGCCTTGTTTGTTCTGTTTGAAAGTGTGGCTACGATAGTATTCCCAAGAAAAAAGTGGAAGAAACTATGCTAATACAACAATTGATTTCTGGCCTCGCGGATTCACGGATCAGAGAATCTCTTACTGGAGAACACAGAAAAACGCACATGGGACAGGGCCTGCGATGTACCTCGCGTGAACGTCGCAGTGACGTCTCCTCTCTAACACAGGAGCCACTGAAATTGACCGTTTAGATTCTACACACTCTCTGACGAGACCCTCAGTTAGAAATAAGTGTTGCCGTTGTGGAAATGCTGAATATCGAGCAAATCATATGTCCGGCAAAGAGTGTAATATGCCGGAATTGCGGTAAGACCGGTCATTTTGCTCGAGTTTGTCGTTCCAGCGTCATTTCCTGAGCTGATTCTGCAAATGACTCTAGAGCTTGTCCGGTCACCACTGAACAATCCATATATGGCGTTAATGAATGCGAACATTCATTTTCGTCTGCAACCCAAGAACCCAAACTGCCTTCGCCAGATATGCGCTGTGTGCTTTTGAAGTTAGAAACCAAACCATTTGTCTAGAAATGGAACTAGATTCCGCGTCACCAATCCCAGTTGTGCCATATTGCTTGTACAAACAGCATTTTGATCAGTTAACTGTACATCCTTCTGCCTTGCAGCAGTTACTCAAATGGTGATATCCACATACTTGGTTTTGTTACGGTCTCAATACTTCTTATAAACAGCAGGAAGCGTATAGTTGAAGTTTACGTTTCTAAAACTGATAGTACGCCTCTATTTGGACGTAATGCCATGGGCTTATTGAACGCATCACCATGCGTCAGCCGGATGAGTATTGCCAGTGTCAACGTTCATTCGTTACGGTCCAGTTACCCAAATCTTTTTCTTCCGGATATTGGTAGAGTCCCAAAAGCAATGCACCGCATTCGGTTGAGCACGGATTACAAACCGTTCAGCATTTCACAACCTAAGCCTGTACATCTGGCCAAGCGAGGCTCTGTCGCAAGCTTTGAAAAATATGGTCACGGAAGACAGTGTTCCGAATGGGTTCATCCACTAATTGCCGTTCAAAAGAAAGATGGCACTATTCGTGTATGCACCGACCTTCGAGCGCTTAATCAACATATAATTGTGGACAAATTCCCTCTGCCTTCTCTCGACGAGTTGATGGTTAGGCTTTCAAACACCAAACTGTTCCCAAGGCTGGATATTCGCAGTGTATACTACCACATGCCACTGAGGCCAGAATGCCGACATGTGACTGCTTTCCTCACTCAAGACGATTTGTATCAATATAAAGTGTTACCAATGGACCTTAGTAGCGCCTCAGCAGCTTGGCAGAAATTTGTTACTATATCGCTATCAGATCTCAAAGGACGTGTTGTGTATATTGATGATATTTGTGTCTTTGGTAGTAATCGCACCGAACATCAGGGAAACCTTTATAATATACTGCGTAGACTGGATGAACTAAATCTCCGCCGGAATACAAGCAAATGCCAACTCGCTGTAACGCAGGTCAAGTTTATTGGACATGCTATTTCTACCTCGGGTCTTAAGCCTAATGTGAAGAACACCAGAGCCATTCACAATTGTCCAAAATCATTCAATGTTACACAGATGAAACATTTTTTGGGTTTGTGTTCTTATTACCTTCGAGATTTACCGAATTTGGCGACTATTGCCGAGCCGTTGCGGAGGCTGAGGCGTCAAAACCAGGAGTTTCGTTGGGCCACGGAACAAGACAATGCTTACATGACCATACGAGGGATGATTGAATCCACTCCCACCTTAGCGATCTTCAAAGAGCACTGTCGAACGTTTGTTTCGAAGGATGCTTCAAATGTTGGCTTGGGTGCAGTACTGTTCCAGCTGCACGATAGCGAGGAGAAAGTGATTGCGTACGCATCGCGTACCTTGCCTGATACTGAAAGAAATTATTCCACCGGTGAGAAGGAGGCCCTCGCATGCGTCTGGGCGTGTGAGAAATGGCACTTTTATATATTCGCATGTCGATTCACTTCGCGCACCGAACATTCTGCTCTTACAACACTAATAAGTCGCGGTAACAAAGGCCAAAACCTGGTATACTTGAGTCGTTGGTACTCACGTTTACTGAACTATGATTATGAAACAAATTACGTGCTTTAATCTACTTGCAGATGCCTTGTCGAGACTCCCACTATCCAACGAAGGGGAAAACGAGGACTTAGAGGAGGCGAAAATGATATCGCAACTTTCAGACGGAACACACAATAA